CCATGTGTTTTCCACAGCCACTGCTAGATTGGTAGGTATGTATTAATCCAATTTGCATGCCTACATTCATCGGGACTGAGATCCCCAGGAATGATGCACTGGATGCACCGGGACGAGGATGAGATTACAGCCCGATCGTGTATACCCGATTTGGCAACAGCTGTGGCTGGAGCTCGCAGAACAGCGGAATATCCCAATGCACATTGTAATATGGCTCTACACATACCAAAAAGCTTCGGAATATGCTGATAGTACAACAAGGTCTATGCACACGATGTTTTATATGTTTCTAACCGCTAAATCCATGTGAGCAAGTGTTTAGATGCGAGAAAAACATCGCCCAGCCAATCAGAGCCCGAATAGTGGTCAGCTGAATCCAAACATATGTTTGTGGATGCGTTCCGAGTGAAATATGCTACATAGAGCTATTCTAACTGAGGAGGATTGTACATCAACTGACCAAGCATGAGCACATTACTCCACTAGTCAGTCAATCATTCCCATAATGAACAGTCAGTGTTGACATAGATTACTGGTATTACTAACAATGTAACAAGGCTTCGAGGTATGTGTGACACAACATTGTCTTCGAGTGGCGAGTTTTTGAAAACAATCAAACCTTTGCACTATATAGAGCACCTGTGTATAGAAGAATGTCCGTGCTCTAATGCAGAGAGTGCTGTAGCGTATGTTTTTGTTGTCAGAATAGCCGCCCACGACCTAATCTGGCAATGATTACTCGATTAGGTATTGGGCGCTTAGCTTGCTGCGCCCATTGGTGCGATGTTTTGAAGCATGCTGCGAGGTGTTAGCCTAGTACAATGATTAGTGCATCACATCTATGGCAAAACACTGTCTCCATAACTGTCTCGGACTGATCAGGTGGCAGCCCCCAGAAGCCGGCGAGTTGCCTTACCAAGTAGGGGGTTGCCGGATTGGGTCACCGGAGTGCTCGTCGCGCCACAATTTCGAGCCTTTTTAGGCAGCTGCCGACGAACCAGCCCGAAATAGTATCGGAGTAATACCCGATAACCGGTGTGCCGGGATCGCTCAATTAAGCTGAGTCAGCGCTACCTGATATGGCATGTCCAGCCATGCCTCATTTGGATGTGCCTCGGGTGGCACGCATATCCCCGAGCTAGTCCCGAGCTGCCACTTTGGGCAGTGCTTCATTACCAAAACGAGACCGGTCTGTCATGTATCAATCCCGGCGACCGTGATACATTGCTGATACATCCACAGACGCCTCTCATCTAGAGTGAAAGATGTATCATTCTGTAACTCTAATGAGAGGGGTATGATGTATCAATATGCCGGTGTAGGCTCAGTCACGGGTATAAGAGAGAGAGCGACGAAGCTAGGAAGGAGAGCGCGAATGTACTGTAAATGGTAATGAATGAACGGGTACAGACGGCGAGTACGGCGGGATAACGAGCGAGACGGCACATCATGCAATACGGCGTGGCGAGAGTGATAAGAAAGACATACGGGTATCGTAACATAGCCGGGGCCAGACGGTGCACGGATTGCACTGCTCCAACACGCTTCCCTGCCCGGTAGCCTCTTTACTCATCTGCCCTACCACCTGCTCGTTGACCGCGTCTGCACGCAGGGCATTGGCCGGGTGGCCCTGTGTGCTCGCGGTCGTTGTACGTGTCATGCAACAGCCTGGGGCTGCACATCGCTGTGGCCTATGCTCGCTGTTAGTGTATGTGCCCGCCCGTGTTAGCTGTTGAGCAGACTAGGTCTCACGTAGTGGACCGCGCTCTAACTTACCTGCTTGAAGGTTGTACTTGAGGCACACAAGTTATTCCGGTGTTGGAAGAACTGGAGAGAGAGCTACGCTACGTGTGGGTCTTATATACATCTGAGAGACGCTGACTAATACTACTGTATAGTCCATTCCCACACATGACTTGCTCTATGCGGTAAGTGCCGATCCAGCACGTGTGGTGCGATCCAGCCCGTGGAACCCGGCGGCCCGGTGGGCGCCTATACGGTTCAACATTAGCACTCACCATGCCCGTGCTTTGCTTGTGTGTCCGCTGTCTGTTCGTCAGCTGCGAAGTGGTGCGCTCGGGCTTGTCGTGTTCGGGCGGTGAGATGGTACGAGCGTGTGTCTGAACACAGGTTGCACAAGTGGCGGGTACGAGCGTGTGTCCGAACACAGGTTGCGCAAGTGGCGGGTACGGTCCGGGTCACGGGTCACAAAAACGTGACCCGGACCCGTACCCGGGCGTACCCGTACCCGGTACCCGCGCGGGTTCCCACGACCCATGCTCTGCACTCGTGGGTATTGATCCGACTAGTCTCGAAGCCAGAGACGAAGGATAGTGAGCCCCACACTGGCATTGTGACATGCCGTGCGTAAAGGCATTTTCTCCCTGGGTATGCGGAGGCGGGGAAACCCGCTAGCAGGCTGGGCGACCGGGGCTGACCAATTGTCAGCTGCTGGCGCCCCGACGGCCATCAAAACAAAAAAAAAAGGAATGCTTAGCGCTACGAGGAGAATCGTCGCGGAAACTTCCGGACGCCACGCGCTACGGCGTTACGCGCCACATAGCTGTAGGGTCTGAGGTTCGTACTTTCTGCGCACGACGGCCTCTTGATATGAACTACAGCATGAATTGGTGCTATGATTATCGTGCATGCTACTTCTCAGATGATGAAGACTTGTCGGACTCGGATATCAGACAAGAATCAGACCGCTCCCTTCTCTCGGAGCTCGACCTCTCAAGCAGGTTGGATGCTGCACAACATCGTACCAATCCGTGGACGATTGCCAAGATCAATGCCTCGACACGAAACGTCCGAGTCGCTAATGTTGCCCACCCGCAAGCAATTCGTGCGAAGCACACTCCCAACCAGGCTGGAGTGTCCAGGCCTGAGCAGTCAAAATCACGAAATTGCGGGCTGCAATCGATCCAAATATCCGAAGGTGAGGGAAAATCCTCTTCTGATTCAGGCCGAAACGAGGTAAGTATGATAGCATTTCATGTATCATCTGATATGCTAAGTGCGCGCACACACGTAGCTTGCTCTAGCCGGCAATAGTGACGAGCGGCCCGTTCCAACCTTCAACGCCAAGTCTTCCTGGCTAGCTATCTCAAGTCAGGGCATTAAGGCCGCGCATACACAGGTAAGTCGTGCGAGAAATCGTGTTCACTGTAGTGCTCAATGCCTACCAGCACCAGCCTCCGTTCGCACCGGTCAAAACTCGTCAGAGAGGTGATGTACTCTGCGGTCAAGTGAGTGTCGCCTTCACGCATAACAGATATTCCCGAGGATGGAGATTGTCGGAACATAACACCATCTACGAGCAGTAAGCCCATGCATCGGGGGTATGTATGTGCGAAGTGCTTGCGACGGGGCCTAAATCTGAATTTTGACCGGGCCAGCATGCTTGCCGATGCGAAATCACCAACACATTCGTATGTGCTCTCGGGAGTACAGGGCTGCGTGCAGGAAGCACTGGCAGTGCAGCCCGGGTATGATTTCTTGAGTCTGCACGCCGTGCCAATTTAATGCTATTGACCGCCAGCAAGGAACAGGTATCTCCCGGGCCTCAGTCGCACCCTCCAGTCCTTCCACCTCCAAGCCTCCCTTCGAATCCTGAGACCGCAACGTTCGCTAGGACCCGCATACAGCCAAACAAAACTTCGCCTAGTCTCAGGCAATCCACCAAGCGTGACGCATACAGTGCATTCCCGATCTCGCCAGATGCAACCTGGTGCACACTCCCCTCGACTCAACCAAAACGAACTTCCCAGACATTCAAGGCACGCACAGCGACTTCAAAGAGGTTCACTCTGCCACTCCTGACGGCGGATGGCGGAAGATCGCAATCCACAGGCAGGAAGCGGACCGTCTACTGTCCGCCGCCTCGGGCAACGACCAAGTCTCATGCCCACGGTGCACCTTCCCGAGGGCAGGATGTCGGCGGGGTGCCGTCGCGTTCTACCATCTCTAACCTGGACGCCTCTGATGACGGCGAGCGTCGGCGATTCAACCCTGTGGTTACCGTATACATACCTCTGTCGCCGGTGTCCTCTCCACCGAAGCTCGACGATCCTGCCAGCCTCCGCGCCAGAGCTTCCCTCCCGTCGCCCCCGCCCTCGGACCCCATTCTCGAGACTGATGCCGACGACCGTGGCACCGGAGGCCCACGCATTCGCCATGAACCGTACAAGATCAGATACGCCGGTATGAAGAGGAGAATTGCTGAGGTGCGTCCCGCCCTGGTTAACGACACGCATACAACCATCGACTTCAAGTCAATGCGCGTCGTTCTGCTCACTGACATTCGTCCCTTCAGTAGCGCAAGCGGGCTTCGACGCAGCTATGGGATCGCTTAGGTCTGCCCAGCTGCGGCGTCGTCTTCCAGGATCCTCCTAGCAGCCCGCCTTCTTCCCAAACCAACGTGTCGCGGCGCGACTCGAAACCTGAACAGAAAGTGCTTGAACTGCCTATATGCGTGTGGAACCCAGCCGACTCTACACCTGCTTGAAGTCCCGTGTCTTTCCCTCGTCGAACTGCTTCCCTTATCGGTCTGCATCGTATCGCATCGTCTTTCCGACTCAACACCGGTCCCTGCTGCTTGAAACTTCGGTCGGATCAACTTTTCGAGGTCAACCGCCTTGTCGTCGTTTTGTAATGCTTTACCGTGTCAATACCCGTCCTGTACGTTCGCTAGCAATCGATGTTCATTCTGCAAGTACACGTCGTTGCCAGCCCGCTGCACTCCGTCTCGATACAAAACAAAAGCATTTGCGCATATATACATAAACGTCTCGCATAAAAACAGGAGCGTAATATTCCAGAATGCTGGACAGATCATACATGCAAGACGGGACTAGATACAGCCTTGTTCATGACTATTGGTGCTTCAGGAGGGACGGTGAGGGTCTAGGATGGGGGTGTCGCGTTCGGCGGAAGACCGACGGATGGATGACAGTACATGTCGAGGATAGACACGCAGAGGATAGTATGGGGAGGTTACAGTTAGCAAGGGTGTCGCAATACGAGTAGGTAAATGAGTAGACAGGTAGATGCGTAGACCAATAGATCAGCACGGATGAAGAGACAACATGCTCGAGAGTGAACGTCAACAGCCATCGCTGAACAAGAGAAACGGAAAAAACAGGGACCGGCGTAGCGTATATCAGATCAGCGCATTCAAGTCCCATAGCATAAGCAGCATACTAGAGCACTCAACGTCAGCCCTTCACGGTCCTGACAGGACCCATCGCTCGGCGGGCCGGGTCGCTATCCTTGTCGGGGACTCTCGGAGCAGCGCGCGCCCGCGCGCGTGTCATCGGCGGCTCGAACAGCGTCGTCGTCGCGTTTGACGAGCCGCTACGGCTGCCGCTGCCGCTACCGCCTCCTCCGATACGCTGCGCCAGTCGTTTCGCCATCGCAGCCCCCAGCGCCGCCTCATCCACTTCCTCCTCCTCAGCTTCCGGCACCGCAGCCAGAGCGTGGGCCTTCGCCTGCGGCAACTCCGACTCCTCGTCATCAGAGTCGACTGTCGCTGCGCGGGACCGGGACCGCGCGCGAGACTGAGAGCGCGTCTCGACGCGGGGGCTGGGGAGGCTCCGGGTGGGCGTGCGCGGTTCTACGGACGGCGTCCGTCGGGGGCGGAGGTCGCGCCGCGCCTCGGGGAAGAGTAACTTCGGCGCGTAGGTCGCTGGGGGGCTGTAGTCTGGATGGGTCTCGGGGAGTAAGGCTGCGGCGTCCTGCTCCGACTCGGGGGCACCGGGGGACTTGTAATGAGGATTTGCGAGCTCGACTTTCTTGCCACGGCTAAAGAAACCAGTAAGGCTACAAACGGTTGATTGAAAGGATAAGGACGCACAAAACCCATGTGACCGTTGGTTTCTCGACGCGGCGTTCCGGCGTACGCGGTGGCTCAGAGCCAGTCGCAACCGCACTGGACGGACCGGGCGAGCTGTCCGCAAGGAAAGGGTTGTCCGGTGTGTCGCGCTCAGGGAACAGTCCCGGCTTCTTAGCCCGCGTCTCGGATGACACACTTGGGGCCGGAGCAGGCGGAGGTGTCTGCCTGCGCGTCCGGACGTTGCGTATCACGTACGTGCGGGGCTGCCGTTTTGACGGAGGCGGGGACGCAAGTCCTGTATGTTGGCGACGCAGGAGGTGGGGCGCAGGAGGCGGAGAAGACGATGGCGAACGTGTAGGCGATCTCGAGCGCTGTCGTCCTCTACTTGTCTCAGCGACCTTTGAGCTGCTTTGCCCACTCTTGGCTGAGACAGGCCTGCCCATCCAGAAGGCCTCCTCGACCTGGGCCTCGCTCAACTCCTCGGCGATCGCATCGAGGGTCTTGCGCTTCTTGTATCCGAGGATGAGCGCACCGTTTCCATCGCGCTTGCCACTGGCTTCCTCGCCTTCCTCATCGATGGAGGGGAGCTCAAGGCCCCGCTCGTCCTCCTCCGAGTCGGAATCAGTGATGCGCGAGCGTGCGCGTTTGCGCTTGTGCGTCGTTCGTGGCGGGGTCGGGAAGGGCACGAGGGACGATGCTCGCTTGACCGGACCAACCTTTCCTTGCGCAGATGCTCTCGAGCTCCCTGATGCCTGAGGCTCGTTTGCATCTCGCTTGACAGGAGGCGGCACCGCTCTCGGTTTGCGAATATTGCGTGTTTTTGGCATGAACGTGACGCGCGCGGCAAAGAATCGTGAAGTCGTTCCCGCAAGGTGAAGTGCAGAGTAGGCAGAAGGAAGGAAGGAAAGGGGCGAGGACACAGACGACGCGGGAATGTTGTTGGAGGCCACAACAGCGCGTCTCAATTCCAACACGCTTCGGCGCCTCCCGCGACGCGCAAACAACCCACAACAGACGCGCCTTGTTCGCGTCGATCGCCCATTGTTCCCTCTCTCCCCCAAGTCCCTTCTTCCTTTGCTCCCATATCCTCTTGGATTTCTCCGCTGTGTGCGATGATGTGTGCTCAGACGGGAACTCGGTGACGATCTTTCAGGCTTGCTGCAGAGACAGAAGATCTCTAATCTGGATCCCCACGGACATTATGATTGAGCTCGAACAACGCTTGCACCGTCCGTGACGTCCAGTATCTGGCTACATGCCTTCAGATTGATGAGTCTTGCTTGTTTTATTGTCACGCGTAGATGATTTGTATTGCCCTCACTGCTCTCAAAGATCTTATTTCACGTACGAATTGAAGTGCAGCCGGTCCATCGTCCGCTGCACTCGGTATCCCTCCCGCTTCGTCGCGCTTTGGGTACTTTCACTTTGCGCTGGCATGTCTCTAGAGATTTATGTATGTGCCCCGTCGTCCAGCGAATGCGCTAACGTGTAAACGGTGCAGTTTGCAATGTCAATATATGGGTCAGCCTCAGCTTCTGTCTTTGGAATGCCCTGCAGCCTACTGAGAATCATGCGGCGCATCCTGGAGCTAGCTCCCTTCTTACCAACAGCAAATACTGATTTCGACCGATTTCGGGCGAACGGATAACACCACTACATACCTGTTCATTGTCACAGATCCCCGCACTGGCAAATGGTCATTGACGACTCCTAAAGGCACAGGCATGTACACTTCTCCGCCGCTCAAGTAGCACTGTGGTTTCTGAGTTGCAACTTGCCTTCACAGAGCGAGGTTCACCGTGTGCGCCTCAAAACATGTATGATTCTATAGCTATCGTCTACTGAGACAATCTACAAGCAGTCGCGTCTATCAATCTTAGTAATATCAAAACCATAGGTCTGTGCTACTCTCGAACGGCCTCACGGGGTGCGTGCACCATATACTCTCTCCTTATATCTTACCCGCACATCTGCATCCGGTCTAGGCACGCTGAACAGCCCCATCACCGGCTGCGGTGCCTTCTTCAACAGCTCGCCGCGGGCATCTACAAGCTCAAGGTCGTAATTCCACAGAAGCAACGAGACGAAGACCTTAATGATGAGCTTCGCAAGGCGTTGGCCAGTGCACGGGTGAGTTCCTACACCGCGTCCGTTAGCACATCGGCGTCCGACCAGGTTACGATTCCGTTCTCACCAGCTCCCCACGCGACAAAGCCCGACTTCCCCGCCCTGCTCCGATCCCGGAGAGGGTCGAACCGCATTGGCTCAGGGTACGCCGCCGCATCGAGATGCGCGTCCTCCATCATGTACATCACGTAGTCGCCGCTCGCGATCGTCCGCCCAGCGACCTCGATGTCTTCGCCGGTGTTCCGCCGGATCAAAGGCACGTTCATGTAGAGCCGCAGGCACTCTTGCAGGCAGAGGTCGAGCGTCGGGAGCGCGCGCTCCCACGCGACGAACGGGATATCGGACGGGGAATCTGTGGGGCAGGGTGTGCCAATGGACGAAGGCGAGTGTGAAGGGGTTGAAACGTGGTGAGTGGATAGGAAAGCGTCGACCTCGGCGCGGACGGCTGCGAGCCATGTCGGGTGTTGAACGAGGGTGATGATCAGCCAGGATAGGATCGCGCTCGTGTTTGTATGCGCCGCCAGGATCGTCATGATTGTCAGCTGCGCCACATACATCCCATCAGCAAACCTCGGACCAGGACCACGGCGAGTAAGCACTCACCACTGACGCCTGTGTCGCGCTGACGTCCTCATCCACAAGGCTCTGTAGCACGTCGTTGTTGCTCGCTGAGTGCCGCTTGCGCTTCGAGAAAACCTCGCTCAGCATCCGGTGCAGCTTTAGGGCACCGATCACGCCCCGAAACCGTGCTGGCGTCGGGATCCACGGGAGGATATGCGCGTGCGGCGTTGAGCTCTTCTGCAACCACGAGAGCGCACGATGCACCGCGCTGAGCTTCTCCGGTTCGTCCGCGATTTCGTTGCCTGCCGCGATGCGCATGGCCACACTGAACACGGCCTGAAAGCCTTCGTAAGCGCCAGATGAGGATGCATGCACTACAGACGTACTCGATCGACCTCCGTGAAGGGATCCATGATCCCTTCTTTCCCAAGCTCGGTGAGGAGGCCCTGCGCATCGGCGACTGTAGGAGCAAGGACTAGGACGCGGTCAGTAAAAGTGTATGACCCATCAGAATCATCTACTCACATCGCTGGAGAACGTCTACGCGCGCAAACTGCTTCAGCAGCCAGCCGAAGCCATCCTTTCCATCCGTGTACGCCTCAGGCAGCAGGTACCTCATGTTTGGATGCTTCCAGTCGGCATATCAGCACGTTACGCAATGCAGTACGGGAAGTTGAAGGCTTACCAGGAGGAAGTAGCCCTCGAGGAAGGTAAGCGACTGGCAGTTGAAGAAGACATGCCTTGCCTCGCTACCAGAGACGATGACGACGTCGTTCTGTAGCATTCACCGTCAGGACTGAACCACTGGGACAGTTGACACGCCTGGCATACCTCCCGAACTCTGAACCGGAACCACGATCCGGGGAATCTTTGCAGCGCCTTGGCAAGATACCGGCACTCCTTCGTGAAGAACTGTGGTGTGCCCAGGTACCACAGCCATGGCAAGATCACGTAGTTGCCCCTCTGCCCTGTAGAAAGCTGCCGATGTGCGAGCAAGAACTGCCCCACCTCGCCGAGGACGAGCAGCGCAATGAACACAGCGACGACAACGAGGGGCGCCTGCGGGCCGAAGTCGAACGAGCGCGAGGCGGGCAGCTTGCGCAGGAACAGATCGTTCGACGGACGGTAATTGAACTGGACGGTCGTGCTGATGTTCGCCAAGGACATGGTGAGACTCGCGGAATGGTGCGGTTCTGGAAAATGCCTCGGGGTCCCCTTATAACCTCCTCCTCCCGTGCAGCCCGGCCCCCGCGCGCGATGCAAAGCTCCCGGGTATGCAGCCAGGAACCGAGCACTGACAGACACCAGGAATATTACGAAAATTCCGGCCATCATCTAGGGTCCTCTGGGAGCCCGTCGACGCGATAAGTCAGTGCGTATGGGGACTCTTCTTCCAGTCATTATTGGCACTGACGAGCACTTCGTGGAAGATGGAAGGACGCGCCTCGAGACACAACATGCCCCGAACTGGACACCGTGCGCGGGCAAGACTGCTATAGGCGCTTGTCACTATGGTGAGCTATGCACTCGCTATGGCCGAGTTGCACGAGCAAATCTGGCAGTTGTGCTTCCGCTGCGGCTTTGAGGGTAGAGATCTCTTAACAACGCCGCCGTGTTCGGGAGCCTCATCGTCGTTCTTGACGTCACACTTATCTTGTGGTGATACAGAGCAAATACAGAGCACAACTGAGCTCTAGCCCCGCACTGAAGGCGAGGAAGATACGTCACGTATGTCAAACGACGGCTGAAGTGGCCAAGCACTTGGTGAGCACAAGCATCTTTTACTGGTAACTTCCATGATACGAATTGTCAACCCAATTAAACATGCTCTATGCATCCACAGACGACGTCGTAGCCAGGGCGAAGAACAGGTCCTCATTGTCAGCTTCATCATCGTGAACGGAAGCGGGTTGTGCAAGTACTAAAGAGGTGTGCCTAGCCATTGTTTTCTTATGATTATGTCCAACGGGCATTTGACGGGCACTGTTCGATAGAGGGACACACTCACCGTGACTGTGTCCGAGAGGAGCGAACCGCCAACTGGGCGTCTGGTTGACACTACATTTGGATGTCGGCCGGACATTGGACACTGTCAGAGCGTGCGGCGTCGGCGCTTCCAAGGCATCCTGCAGACTGATCTGAATGATATTGACCGCCCCTCTGAGCAGTGCGGCGCACGGACTTCTCCAGGCCACAGTGGCTCGGTGAGCGTCAGAAGCAGAATCGTGGCTTGTGGGCAATTTCATCTGACGACAATCGTCCAAAAACGGTTGCAAACTGTCACAGACCGGAGACAACATTTTTATTTTCAATGCCGGGATTCCTCGATGCAACGCAGGACGAGAAGCCTCGGTTCGGGGCACGAAACCGACGCCCGATGCCTCTGTTCGGAGGAGGTCTTGAACAAACGTTCGAATGAAGTCTTGTGAGTAAAAGGCTTAGTCGTAGCGCCATGCGTCATTGAACCAGCAAACCTTTGGGAGGACAATGTCCGTTGGACTCGTCAAGCCCGACTGCAGCGGTAATGTCTTTCGGCATCCTTTTGAATGGAAGATCGCGCTGACTCCGCAATCTAAATTCATATTGATGTGCTGTGTCAATGCAATACCCAATTGTTGCCAATGGGCTTCGGCGCATCTTTCCAATGTCTGCATGCCAGAGAAGCTCGTACTGTCTCTGCCGTCCTCAGCTACAAAAGGTTTCATTTCGCAGCTGCTACCTCGTACGCGTGCGGCGTTGAGATAGAGGGTGCGATTTGACTATCGACGATCTGTGTGTCGAATGAGGACCGACCCGCGATGCGCTGGTACGCCTGGGGGACTCGGCACCCCAATGACGAATTCATGCTTCGCAAGGTACGAGACAGGCTATTCGGTTGTGGGTTGACAGCGAGGAGAACGACAGCGCCGTTCTTATGTCGCGTCCAAGCGCTGCTCGAGTATCTTAAAGGCATCTTGTAACAGGCATCTACGAAATTATTCGTATGAACCAGGCATGAACCAGTTGGGCTTTCCGAGACTGGCAACCAAAGAAAAGCTCCGCATGCGTGATTGGCATGTTATCATGCACCTGTCCCTATAAGCTTCAAAGGTAAGCATAGTTGATGTGCCACCAACAGATATTTTCAACTATGAGCCAGCGGCCCGTCCTCTGGCGATAACATCTCCCCATCGCATGTGCGAACTCAGTCTCCATAAGTGGAGGCAAGAACGAACTCCTTTAAGTATTAACGCTGATTCAATACTATATCCATGCAAGTAGTAGTAGTCCGCAATCTCGCACAGACCAACAAAGCAAGCTCGACTTCCAAGTCCACAACTTGAACACGAGGAGACCCCACTCCGTATTGTTATCTACTCTTGCGGCTGCAGCTTCGCCCGCTCCTTGATATTGTGGTTCTTCACCAGCCTATCACACCGTCCACATCAGCACCCCATTTTTACACACGCACAAAGCAAGCAAGTGCACTTACACTCCGCAGAGACTTCCGAGTATGACACAGCCCAGGACGAGTAGCCACGTCGGTTTGATAGCAGAAATGGCAGCGTCGATGACTTCGCCGCGGAGGGGCTCAGGCAGTAACGCGATAATCTCAATGCTCTCCGCGACTTCTGTGCGGAGCGTGTCGGTTAGGCCGGGGACCTGGGCCAGATGCGTCCCGAGGCTGTTGTCGAACAAGGTTCCTGCGAGACTGCGAGGGTTCGGTGAGAAGAGAAGAGATTCGTAAAGGTCGAGACAAACGACGTACCTGAGACCGATGATACCGCCGATGAAGCCCATGAACGTCTGTGCAATACGATGAGTTCACGTAAGTTTTACATTGGCATCAACACGCACGGAGATTGTCGTAGCAAGCGTGCTCCTGCGTGTGACGTCTTGCCAGTCGCTCTACAACAAACTCCGATCAAGCAAATGCGCGTTTGCGTCCTCACAGGCACGTACCTGGATGGAGACGCTAGTCGAAGAGAACGCGCCCCCAATACCGGCCTACAAATCCTCGATCAGCTCTGCTCGATCGCACTACGAGTACGGGCACATACCCCCATGAGGATCTGGTATCCAATAAGATGCCCCGTCGAAGTACCCGCGTCCGAGCGCCACATCAGAACCGCACCAGGCACAGCGATTAGCGGCGCGAAGACGAGGAATGGCTTGTAGTACCCGACGCGCTGGCAACGAAGACATTATCAGGCTGCTTCAAGTTCAGTCTAGACATTGAGTGCACTTACGGAGACGACAATGGACGCAAGGACAGACGCTGCCGACACGGAGGAAGTAAAGACGTGAGGACACGAGTCGAACACGCGATAGAAGTGACATACCGATGAGGTACGCGAGCATAAACGCCATAACTTTCACGCCTGCGCCGACAGGGCTGCTTCCTTTGATCTGGTACCTGGAGAATACCAATGACCTCCGTAGAGCAGAGACAGGAACAGTCTAGACTCACATTTCCGGGAGATAGTACTGTCAAAACGTGTGCATTCATTGAGATTGTGCGGTCGCGAACAGTCAAAAACGGATACGTACCACAGCGATAGTCAACGCCGACTGCAAGAAGCACTAAAACCCACCAACCCACGCTCAGCACCGCCCAACCAACATGACTTCGAGGGAAACCCACCGTCTCCAAGCTCGCAAACACCTGCGTCCGCCTCGTCAACATCGTCGGCGGTACCAACGACCGCTTCCCGAAGTAGCGCTATTACCCGCACACCGTCAGCTCACGCACCCCCTTCCTAGCGATCATACCCGCATAACCCGCATAACAGCTGGTTTAGCGACACTCACCTGCCAGAAACACAACCCTATCAAAAGCACCGCAAACACGACAAACAGCGCAATGACCGTCCCGCTGTCCCACGCGTACGTGACTCCGCCCCACTGCATCGCGAGCAGGAGACACGTCGTCAGGCTGACCGTCAGCACGCACCCGAGCCAGTCGATCCCCCTAGTGCACCATAAGCAACAGACACGAAGGCGAACGGGAAGCGCGGACGTACGTTCGGAGCCGGGTGAAGAGCGGCTTGTCTGCACCCATTGGGGCGGGCCTGCTGGGCATGCAGAGGAACATGGCCACGACAGCGAGGCCGCCGAACTGCACGTACGCATCCGTGGGGGAAATGGTCAGACATCCGCCTTGAACGGAGAGGAAGGGGACGAACGTACCGGGAGGTTAATGTAGAAACACCAGCGCCAGGAGACGTGGTCTGTTAGCTACGATCAGATTGTGAGTATCGAGAAGGGAGAGGCGACCTGCCTGTAAATGCTCCGCCTGTATTGTTCACAGCACCCCAGTCAGCATAGATGAACAAACCCACGGAACGAGATTTCACGCACCAAGCAACGGTCCGCAAATCGTCGACACCGCCAGAACGACGGACAGACCCGCGAGGAGCATCGGCCGCAGCGTCAGAGACGTAAACTGCATCCCGATCGCAAGAAAGGTGTCAATATCAGTTACACACTACATTGTGATCCCGGAATTAAACGACGCACGCTGACGATCGCCGCGATGTAGCAGACGGTAATTCTGCGAGCACCACACGCTACTTAGCTACGCTTCATATCAAGAAACACGAAGGCGCACCCTGACGATCCGATCCCTGCAATCGCCCGCCCGATGATGAGCGCGTTGATATTCGGCGCCTGTACATTGTACGGCGACCAAATAATCAGTGCCAGTCGACATAATGGTACGCTACGTGGGACGCACCGCACCGCAGAGGGCGGAGCCGCCCTCGAAGAAGACGATGCAGAAGAGGTAGAGCGTCTTGAGCGGGACGACGTTGACGAGCTGGCCGATGACGAGCATGAGGGCCGTCCGGGTGAGCATGTCTGCATGGGGGCATAAGTTCGCAGAGCCTGGATGAGGAAGCGAGGGATGGGCGTACAGGCGACGGCGACCCAAGTCGCGTCGTGGAGCGCATCGAACTGAGAGACGATGCGCGGGAGGGCTGTGGCGACCTACGTGTATAATATGGCTGAGCATATTCATGGATAAACGGGAGAACGTAGATACGCACGATCGTACCGTCGAGACTCGTCAAGAACACGGTCAGGACCATCGATCTGCACAGTTCCCCCGTCAGTCATCATTCTCGCACCAGCCGCAAGACTCACCCGAAGAGCATCCAAAGCCTGATCCCCGTCAAAAACTGGGGCGGGTTCTTCCCCTGCGCCGCCGCCATCTCTTTCTCCGGCAAGCCCGCCTCGGGGTTCGCGCTCTCCATCGTCCCCGTCGCGGACAAACCCGACAACCTATTCTTCTCCATATCCGCGTCGCCATGCCCCGCAGCGTCTAAGAGGTTCACTACTGGCGCGGCCTCGACGCCTTTGACGGCAGGATTGGTCGAGGAACGGTCGAGGGACTGGAAGCGCGAGTCTCCGTCGTCCGCGGAGTCGCGCTTGAGGGTGCGGCTGTCTGTGGAGAGGTCGATGGACGTGGTCGCCGGGAGGTCGGGCTGCGACGCTGTGGTCTGGCCTTCGATCCCGAACCCGGAACTGTGCGAGCGCATTGTCGACTCGTACCGGATCGTGTGGACGGCCGTGTGGCTGGGGCTTTGTCCTACCCGATTCAGCACATGGAAAGTCCCGTTTCCTGGTGGTTCGCGCAGAGCGACGATCCCCTCGTTAGCGAGGCCTACGAGATGGTCGAAACGAGACGGAGCTACGTACCACCTGCAGGTGACTCCAAATCTGCGCTCTCAAGAGAAGCCATATCGAACTCTAAAGGACTGTGAAGGACACCTAGAGTTGGGCTAGGTGAGTTGGTCAGCTGGGAGAGGAAGAGAGAGAAGGAAGGAGGGGGCGGACCTGGAGGGCGGAGGGCAAGGGAGCGCAGGCTGCAGAGTTCGCGTCTAGCTCGGAACCCAAATAGGGCTGCATTCGTTGACAGACATGTTTGGTGCACGATCGAGCGACAGGACGCTGGAAGCAAGCGGACTTCCCCCGGCGTACCTGCACCCAGCCTCAGGCTGTCACAGGGCCTCCAGCACAGTGACAGCACTCCAGCCGTCTCAAAACCCTACATCGCTGCTCATCGCTGCGTTGAGAATATGTTCAGCTGTGAGATGTGAGCCATCGCATATCCAACGCAAGTATGCCCTAACGAAGAGTTATCTGTCGGTAGGCGTCGCATCGCTGTTCGCAAACGAGTTACGTCCGGAGATGAACGACATAAATCAGACGCCCATCAATCCGCGCCACACTCGCGTAGGCGCCCGTCCTCTATCCCCTCGCCGCGCCACTCTTCTCATTGTACGCAACCCCGGTCAATCTTGAGTCCCAATAACAGGCCGCAGCAGTTCTACTCGAAGTACAGGAGAAAGCGCGTCGCCTCTTATCCCAGGAAACGCGTAGACACTATTCGGACCGACGGCGATCAATGACTACACCCCTTGTAGTCACAACGGAGGCAAACCTCCCTGGCGCTCCGGGCCACCAAAGGAAATCGAGACGACTATCGGGGGATCGCACCTAGTTGGCACGGCCTTTGAATATTGAAATGTTGAAAATTGAACGAACGAGCACCGGTTTGATGCAGGAAGCTTTGAAGCCCTGTACGCGACAGACAGACCGCTTGAGCGTTGCTGTAGCTGAAGCTTAAATGCGAACATGGCACTGACATGGTGAGGTCACCATGCCCTGAGTACGACGTACTCTTCGCAACTGAGGGATGTGGCCTCTAGGACCAAGCGTTCACTTGTGTTTCGCCACGGAGACTTGTGCGCGAGCGAGTCGACGCCCGTGCCAGACGCTCCGCTCATACACTCGCCATACATAACCTCGTTCAACGTGGTGGCTGTGGCAGCCATTGAACGTTGAACCCACACCTCGGCCTCAACGCAGCTTGGACAAAATCATAGTGGTCTGTCGAGCTGGTAATCATTGTCGGATCAGCCGCGAGAAATCACGCACTGGTGCTGTCAGGCGTTGTACACAGCCGACGGGCACTTGGGATGCCAGCGCACTGGGCGATGACACGGCTAGATAACATCGCGTAGCTTGAGTACCGTCTCACATACCAGAGACGACCAGCGCGCACTGAGACAAGACCCAGGGGAGCGACTTCGTAAATCCAATGGTCTCCCCGATGTTCGGGTTCATCTTGGTAGCCCGCGCCAGTAGCACGCTACGCACACAGCCAGCGACCGAGCTCTGGCTCAGGCCCATCGGTACATACACCAATCAGACGGCGACCCGACATGAGCGTGTATCATCCTCGTCTTCCGGCCAACCCAACGCGTCGACCGCTCTCTGGGCGGGCGGTTCGGCACCTGTGCAACCGAAGACCAGTGCTCGGTACGCGGTACCTGCACGCCCGCCATCACCCGATTCTCAGCGGATCGAAACGCTCGGGCCACCAGCTCCCCGCCCCCATTATCGTCCCGACTTCGCGTCGACGCAAGGTGGTGAATCATAAAGTACCTTCCATGCGACCGGCCCATTGGTATGAACGTGAGGGCTTGAAGTTCAGACGGCCCGAGATTATGTATACGCAGGCTCGCGGCCGCTGTCCGACGTCCGATCGTGCGGGCAGCTCAGACGGGCCCGGGCGTCGTCAGGCGTTGTTAGATACGTTGCAAGCCGCCCTCATACCGAGCGGGCCAAGCTCACTCATCGCACGCAACTATTGGGAAAGGCGACACCGCCTTTCGGCAATGCGAATGCAGTAGCATCGCGGGTAGGGTCGCTGGGCAAGCTGAGTTGGCGGGCTGCTGGTCTGTCGCTGCGCTGCTATCGTAACGACTGCGTGAGTCCCGCTACCACTCTCGAGCGTGAGTAACCCTTACGTGCTGTGAGGAATGTCGACGTGTGCGGTCTGTGTGAGGCGGAACTCGTCAGTCGCGAGGTCCACAACGGCGCCCCCGCCGGCGCCAATTGAGTGAGTGGTACGGTAGTGATGGCCGCGCGGCGGGCCTGTTCGATGGGACGACAGTCGTGGGACGATGGAGGGGACGGGTCACCTGAATGTGGTGCAGGACTGGGAGCGGGAGCGCGTTCGGACAGATGGCTGGGTAGCCGTAGGTGATCGCTGGATGGGTGGTCGAGGTGCACAGCAAGGCCTGAGCCACGATACGTTCACGATATGTAGCGTGTCTGGACCTTCGCGCGCTGCGATGAGACACGTCGAGCACGCGCGAGTCCCAGCACAGCAGCCAGACTTGCTAACTGACGACGCGGAATCAATGTGTACTGAACGTGCGGCGACCGTCGAGCGAGAGGCAGCCGAGTAGAACGTCCATGCCGTGCGCACGCAGCACGCGCGTGCGTAGAGCGTCCAGTGGAAGTTCGGTGCACCGGCGATACTGCCTACCTTCCGGCAGCGACTCGGAAGGCCGCAGAGATCACGAAGGCGCGTTCGATAGAGCGTGGGTCGCCATGTGTAAGGCGAGTGCCTTACCAGAGAGTCACGAAGCCATGGCACTGTGGGAGAGTGATACAGGAAGGGTGACGAGAGTGCGATTTACTTACCTCGGGTGATGTCGGACGTGGGAGGAGGGCCGGGTTTGTGGCGAAGTTGACCGCGCGTCGCAGGCAGAAGGGGATCAAGGCTGTTCAAGAACAAGTGGTGGATGCCTCTAGCCTTGAGCGGGCGAGTCCCAGACGCGACGTCCTAGTACGTTCAGAGTGTTCGCGGTTGGCCTCGCACTGACGAAACACAACTGCACGTGTGTAGCGGCGCGCGGTATCACGCAGAGATTGTGCGATGTTCAGCCTACAAGGAGTGCCAACGCCCAGGCAGAGGAGGCAATACGTACGGCATTTGGGCTCGGGCGTGAGTAATCCTTACGTGCTGTGAGGATTCTCGACGCCTGCGGTCTATTGCACGTCTAAACATAGGGTGTTCGCGCGCGGGGATTGGCGCGGACGGCGGGCCGAGGGCGAGGTTCTCAGGAGGAGCGCCACGCGTCCGAGGCAGCAGGTGTCCGAGCTTGTTTGTGGTCGGCGGCGGAGGGTCGCGTCCCGGAGTGGACGGACGCCGGGCGAGGTGCGAGCAGTAGCGCGACGCGTGTTAGGGGGCGTGCGCACTGGCCAATATTCGATGACATTTAGGGACGCACAGAGGAGGTCGATAAGATGCGTCTGTATTGACAAGGCGGGCAGGTGTACCTGATGCGCGTCATAGGTGAGCGCATACCCAGACAACGCTGCTGGCAGCGTGTGCGCCGTTTCCATGCGTGCGCGAGGCGAGTCCGGCACCCTCCTGGGTATACTGGGCGCGCTGGGAGCAGAAGAGGCAAGGCGGGCGGGGCGGGGAGTCGGGGGTGGCGTACGCACGAGGCGGCGTGGCGGTGGCGCGGGGTGGGGCGCCGAGATGCCGGGTCGTGCAACGCCAGATCTGCGAGATTGGGAATTGCGCCAGCGACACGGTGCGTGCGGCGTCTTTGCCGGGAGCAGTGGGCAGGGATGCCCGTTTTATGTCGCAGCGGCCTCTGCGCACGCCCTCGACGCCCCCTTCCCTCGCCGTCCCACCCAGCGACCACCGCCAGCGACGCCCGCCGTCGCCGGCCTCTCCATGCGCACGCCGTCCTCACCGGCTTACTGCTGCACGCACACCTTGCGCACCGTCGCAGACTCACGCTGCCAGCAGTACTCCATCCACCTGTGGTCGCTCTCCCTGCCAACGCGCTCAGCTCCACTCTGGTCACTAGGCACGCCAGTCTGACATACATACGCCTCTGCCGCATCCCCGGCTGATGCTCCCTGTCTCTGCCCACGCCCGCGATGATACCCCAAAACACGCCCGTCCGACTGCCTCGCATGCCCTCCCGTCCACGCCCTCGCCCACGCCCACCTCTCACGACCACCCACTGCCGCATCGTAGACCGTCTCACTCTTGCATCTACCCTACAGATTCCATTATTTCTCTGCACGTCTCTTCACGTCTAGATCCGGCGAACCCGCCCTATACCCAGCCCTCCGCGGCCGCCTGCGCACACACGCGCCCCCTCCGCATGCATACATCTCGGCTCTGCGCGAGCCTCCTCCCCGAAGCGGACGCGCGCCACCACCCATACGCGCCCAGACATGTCGAGCACCGTCCACGCAGGGCCGGCGAGGTCGCCGCAAAGGTGCGTTCTATTCTGCCAGAGCAGAGTTGCGCGGTGAGCTGACTCTTCATCCAGACCTGCGCGCCGCCCGCGGAACATCAGCGCGACGCTCGGCCTGCTTGCGTTGACCCTCACCTGCGCGCAGATGCCCCTCCCGATTTCTGCCGCCTGCGTCCAGACTGCGAACGCGCGGGATATGAACGCGAGCGTCCGCCTCCCCGTCGAAGCCATTGCACCGCCCCTCATGGCACGCCAGAACTCGAGTTCTGATGCGAGCAGCGCGCAGACGTCAACGGGAGGCGCGTCCGCGGCTACGAGCGCGTCCGACCCGACGAGCGCGCAGGCATCCTTGTCGACCACGGCCTCCCAGTCGTCCACCCCGTCGGACATGTCCAGTTCGCCCTCAGCACCTTCCGCCCCGACTTCCCCGGCAGCCTCGACGTCCGGCGCCCCATCTGCGCCAGGCTCGCAGAGCAGAGGCGACCCGCAGTCTGGGTCCGGCGGGCAGTCGACGAGCGCGGCTTCGGCCACGTCCTTCTCGGTCTCGGTGCCTTCGGTCTCAGTGTCTTCAGTCTCGGTGCCCTCAGTCTCGGTGCCCTCAGTCTCGGTATCCTCAGTCTCGGTGTCCTCAGTCTCGGTACCCTCAGTCTCGGTGTCCTCAGTCTCGGCGCCCTCAGTCTCGGTCACTTCAGTCTCCGTGCCGACGTCGTTCTCGCTGTCAAACCCATTCTCGCGGAGTGCGAGCTCATCCGTGAGCGGGAGCGGGTCGGCGTCGCACTCGCACTCGCACTCGTCAAGCAGGTGGTCGTCGCTGTCGTTCAGCTGGCCCAAGTCCTCGAGCGAGTCGTCGACCCGTTCGCAGTCAACGTCCCAGTCGCAGTCCACCTCACATTCGCAGTCGCACTCAAACTCTCGGTCATCGTCCTCGGCATCCAGTTCCGCGTCCCGGAGTAGGAGCACGAGCGTGAGTACGTCAAGGTGAGTGTGCGACTGGTCTTTGGGCCGTGGGTGTCTCACCCGTCTGACCGTGCGCGTTCTTTCTTTCTCTTTCTATTCGGTGTGTTGCTCGCGGTGCACTTTGGCGACTCTCGCTGGCGATTCCCGCGGCGCTCGCGTGCGCGACGGAGTAGTTCGGGGACCTCTTCATCTACCTCTGTCTCTGCCTCGCGTTCTCCAACTTCCGCGTCGGTGTCGGTGTCGGCCTCCGCCTCCGCGCTTCCGTCTAGTTCCACCGGGTTAGTACCGCCTCCGTCTTCGGCGTCCGGGACGACCTCGGAGACCGTTTCCACTGGTTCTACTGGTAGCCTGCCCGTCGGTCCCTCCACTAGTGGCGGCGCCTCGAGTAGCACTGCTCCGGGGAGCTCTTCTTCTGCCGCGAGCGTGTCGCGCAGTGTTGGTTCTTCTACCTTTAGTGGAGCCAGGACTGGAGGCGGCACAACGAGCGCTAGCGCGGGCAGTAGCACCGTTACATCCGTCTCTAGTGGTACGGGACTCTCGAGGACGTCGGACCGGCCGACGTCGAGTAATCACGGCGTAGGCCCGAGCTCGACGGTTGGGAGCAGCGCATATAATCGGTCGTCGGCGGGCTTGGGTGCGTCGTCCGCCACAGGTGGCTCAGGAACGTCCTCTGTGGTGCGCACGACCGGCGGCATGTCTGGGTCCGTCTCGGGTAGTGGGCCTGGCGATCCGAACCTATCAACGAGTGCGAGGGTAGCGTCGGGGAGTGGTAGTACGTATGTGCCGACGACTTCGGCGGTGTCCATGTCCGTGTCATCCCCCGTCGGATGGTCGTCCTCCTCTGTTGATCTCGGTTCGAGTGGCATGTCTTCTTCTCTTATGAACCCCACGACTTTCACGACAGTCATGACTTATGTTACTGATGTTACGAGTGATGCGAGTGTTATGAGTAGATCGGATACTGACCCTTCTCTTTCTTCTAGCCATGCATCTTCCTCTTCCAGCCGGTCCTCGACGTCTGCTAGTAGGAGCGCGTCATCGTCCCGCTCAACAAGCAGTGTTCCGGCTTCTTCGGCTGCCCATTCGTCTTCATATCCTCCATCGTCATCACTACCGAGCACGCCCTCAACGGTATCACTCACCTCCCCTGTGACGACAGCGTCTGCCACGTACTCCTGGACCTACTCAAATACTGCGGTCTCGTTCCCTGTTGTCAGCACGCGGACAGCTACATACTTCGCCACGACGGACTCGACGACGACGGTGCACTCGGCGACGACGAAGACGGTGCACTACACGGAGACGACCGTCACGAAGACGTCCGTCTGGACGCTCACCTACACCAGTCATGGGCAGACGAGCGTCACCGTGCGCTCGTCCGTCATTGTCTCCGGCTCGCTCATCCCTGAGGTCTCGGCCGGCGAGGCGATGTGAGTATCATTTACATTCGCTGTTGTGATCTACGTGTACTGACTTTGGGCGTAGTTTTGCGCGCAATCATGGTGCCCTCGCCGGGGTGATCCTCGGCTCGCTCGCTTTCCTCTCCCTCCTCGGCGTCCTGCTCGTCATCGCGCTCCGGAGACATCGCGCACACAAGGCCGCAGAGGCCGCCGTCGCCGAGGCACTTGCTAATACCGCTCGGCGCCGCCCTGCGAACATGCTCGCGGACGAGGACGAGGACGATCTTCCGCCGGGCTCGCCTACCAGTCCGACCGGCGGCATGGCGCAGGTCGGAGGCCCCGCTAGCTTACAGGCTGGCGGATATAACCGTCTCAGGGGTGGCAACGCGAGTTCCTCGGGCTTTGATAGGATGAACAGTTCCGGGCCACTCTCAGGGTTCAGCGAACAGAGCGCGCTGGCGGACCTCGCGTTGGGTTCATCGAGCTACTACGCTGGTGCATTTGCCAGTGCTGCCTCTGAGGACGGGCATGGTCGCGAACGTGAGCATGACCTCGCTGACGGCTCGCCTCCACCGATGTCGCGCACGAACAGCGGGGACGAAGATGCGCAGGCGAGCTCGAGCGACCACCTGAGTGCGACGCCACTGTTGGGAGCTGCTGCCGTGGCTAGGCCGGGACGATCCGAGTCGGGCTCGAGGTCGAGGAGCTCTTCGGGGATGGACCCTGCGGCGTGGTTGAGCGGACGCGACATGGCGTATGCAGCGGTGCCGATGAGTGCGAATGCCAGCTCGAATGTCCTCTCTTCGCCGCCACACTCGCTGGGGAACCCACTGGACCCGTTCGCAGATCCTGCACCGCATCCGTACACTGACCCAGCTTTAGCGGCGGACTCGAGTGCCAATCCGTTTGTGGACCCGGCGCCCCCGTCGGGACAGCGTCAATCATGGGACGAGTTCGCTGCGCTAGGTGCTATGAGTGATGCCGCTGCTGGAGCACAAGGCTTTGCGAGCGGTTCCTCAAACGGACATGGTACGGGCTCTGGAGGGGGCACCGGCTCGGGCGGATACAACTCGGGCGGGTCGGCCTACGGGCACACCGGCTCTACGCACGCACTTGGAAGCGGGCCTGGCTCGTCCAGTGGGCACGGCCATGATGGCTGGTCCTCGGACGGTCATGGTAAGCAGGCGGACGGTCGCTCGAGCAACGGTCATGGAGACGGCTACAACCTCACCGCGAGCAAGCGCTCGAGTCTGCTGCCCACTGTCCCTGGCGTCCCCCCGCCGACCGCGTATCGCTCACCAGGAGAGGGAGAGGACAACGATGGCAGTGCGGGCAAGAAAAGGAGACGGAGCTTCTTGGGCGTGAGCAGGCCGTGGAGGAGAGCGAGTGTGAGCGACTCGAGCGAGACGAGGGCGTCGTACGTCGATGCACCGAGCTCGTTCCCCGAGTCGGACCCCCGCAGTTCGCAGTACACGGATCCGCGTCTCTCTGCTGCGTCTAGCGGCGGCGGCGGACGAGCCCGAAGCGCGACAATCAGCCCCGCGACCTCGCAGCAGGCGCTCACCGCACTGGGTGTGTCCAGCTCGCCCCGGATGGCTGCTATGGGCGGCATGGAGAGTGCTCCTGGTACGCTCGGGCGCTCGACATTCAAGCGACCGCAGTCGCCGACGCTCCCGCCAGGGTCGATCCCGCCTGTGATCATACACAATCATGCACCCCCGGCTTATCCGACGGCTGCATATTCCGTAGTCCCTTATGGCTCAGGAACCTTGCCGCCCTCGTCGTACTCAAGTTCACATCCGTACTCGTACGGCTTCCTAACGCCCTCGACCCATTCAGATGCTGCGTATCCTTCCTCCTCGGACCTTCATGGTGGACTACACCCGTGGCGAGGGCTGGCAGGATTATTTGGCACGCCCGACATGCCGAGTCCTGCGCCGACGGAGACGAGTGACGCGGGCGCGCCTGAGGGACTGTTGGACCCCCGTCGAGTGGGCACGGTTGCGGGTGGTATGGGTGCCGCTGGGATGCGGAGTACGGGCGCGATCAGCTTCAGGGATGAGGTGGACTATAGTAGGCCGATCGGCGGGGTGAGTGTTTCGTGTTCTGAGAATTGTGCGCATTTACTGACGGCGGATTGGTTTGTGTAGCTCGTGAACAATCGTCAGCATAGCCAGACGACGGTCCACACGACGAGCACGCGTCATAGGACGTATTATACGGAAGACGATGATGATGATGACGACGACGCTGACCGCGAAAGCATCGAGCCGCAGGGCCATGAAGAGGATGAAGACATCTCGTATTTGCACGGTCTCGTGTCATGAACGCGAGGATCCGTTCATTCATCGCTTCTAATTGTTTGCCTGTACATATTCACCGTCCTTCCTTCTGCAAAACCGGGCTGCCGCCCGTCTAGTTGCTAGTCGATACGTGCGTACTTGATCTTCGTTTTCTTGCATGTGTTGCATTTTCTTTTGGGTTTCGTATTTTGCATTCGCCCACCATGCCTTACAGTCCCTACCACTAGTACGCGTTATGAATCTCAATGAACCCCCGCATAGTCCCACGACCCGACCCCTCCCTGCTCGCAGTGCGCGACCACCTAAATCCACGCTGTAGTACTAGTTTTCGTGACCCAGCACTCTGTACTGTCCATGTTTCTTCATTCCGAACATACGCCTTGATTGTCTCATTAAGCTCTCTCCCCGTCTCAATATACTCCATCACTGTGCATTGTAGTTACTTGTCTCGACTTTATAGATCGTTGACTCGCGCAAATAGAGCAATATCTTTCATAGCATGGCGAGCGAGTTCTCGATGTGAGAAGTCGAGACGACAACTGCCCTGATGAGTCTATAATTAGGGGTTTTAGCGAAGCGTTCAGGCTGTGGTACGTTGTGTGTCTGTAATAGTATGGAGGCAAATAACGTCGTCTTTCCTCAGCTGCCCTTCAACCGGCTGTTCGTCGACCGTCCAGGTCAGCCCTCTCCCGTTCCCGAACACAGGTTCAAACAGAATTTTGATGGGTTTGCATGGTGGCCATCGGTGTGGAGGTTGAGCTCAGGAAGGGATTGGCCAGTGAACAGCACCCTTTTCGCCGTAGCGTCGAGCCCTCTCCGCGATTGTTTTCTAGCGTTGAAGCGCGGCATACTGTGAGGGAGGTTTGTTGTCTAGTCGACAACCTCATCATCCCTGTATTTATGCCTGGCTCTAAGCTCTAGCGTTCGACGCTGCATCTGGGCCTTTTCCGTGCGTCAGAAGAAAGGCTGGTCTCCTTCAAGGACATTCGCTTCACGGCAGTCCAGCAGCTATCTGGGTTGCGACGTTATGTAGGCGGGCATGTACCTCAACATACTAGTTCATACTTAAATCATAATTCATACTGGTATATCGCTCAATCAAGGTCTCCATAAGGGCCGCTCCTTCAACTTACTCCCTCCACGATTCGACGCCACTGAAGCAGGTCTCGAGCTCGAGCTCTCGCCCAGTCCCTCGAAAGCCAGGATCAGATCCTTGACACTCCCGCCGCTACTGCGCCTCTTCGCGGAAGGATCCATTCGGAGCGGCTTGTCCACCGGAGGTGGTGGCGCCGGGTGCAGGTCCACCAATCTGCGAGGCTGTTCCTTGCCGCGCGGTATCCTGGACGGCTTCGGCGGGGGCACAGCGTTCAGTTGGACAGAGTTCCTCGGAGGGACGGGCTTCGGCACAGGCTTCGGGGCAGGTGTGTGGATCGGTGCGCGGGGTTTGGCGAAGGTTTCTGGTGGTGGTACGGGAAAGCCTGGTTGCGCGGGTTTGGGCTTCTTGACAGGTTGCGCTTTCGAGCCAGATGGGACGGGGAGGTAGGAAGAGAAGAAGCCCTTAACTCTCGTCGTGAACGTAGGGCGCGGGATAACGGTGCCGCTCCTGGGTTGTGGGTGCGGTTGTGGCGGTGGTTGCAATCTTTCTGGTTCGGCCGGTGAAGGAGCGGGAGGCACGGAAGATGCATGCCCTTGGGGCGTAGTGCACTCCTTCTCGAAGCTTGACATACCAGGAGTGTTTGACAGCAGGGAGACGGATGAAGGCGTGGGCGGTGCGACCCTTCCAGCCTGCTGCTTCTTCTGCAACGCTCTGGCACGCCGCAAGACATCCTCCCTGTATGAACAGTCAGTCAGAAACGTCTGGTTCTAGGCGACCAGAAACGTACCGATTCAGCCCATCAGGCTCCTGCAACACAGATGTTCCCTCCCACTGCGCGAAGAACCGATCCGCGACCTTCTCCAGATCAACAGAATCAACATCCACCAGCACCTTGCCACCTCCAAGCGCAAGCCGCTCGTCTGTCAAGCACGAATCCAGCTTCTTCCACTCCTTGCGCGCCCAAGCTCCCGCCTCTCTCCCAACCGGAGTCGACGCGTCCCCCAAGGAGAAGCTCGGCGTCGCCCAACTGAACGAGTCTGCCGGCTTCAACGGCGTGACGAACTCGTTCCGGGTCGAGGCCATCTTCTGCAGGACCGCGCTTTCATCCTGAACCTGGCTGTGGCTGTGGCTGAGGTTCTCAAGATCAAGCGAACGCTCCGCTTCCTTCAGCAACTCCGGTATGGTCAACGCCGGGCTCCCTGGGATGAACACCTTGTCGCCGAGCATGCCCCCGAGGGTGTGCCTGCGCGTACCCTTCGGCGTGGACGAGGTGGCCTTACTGATCCCTGAGGCGAGCGACGACCGGCGGCGCGCGTCGCGGATGGCGGACGTCGCGTCGAGATGAGAATGGCGGCGTTTCTTGGCGAGAATGCGCGGGACGCAGTCGTAGTCGTGCTGCGAGAGACGTTCAGTCTGATTAGGAAAATGAATATGGCGCTAGACACTCACCAGCCTGAGAATCGCTGCAGCGCGAGCGGCTGCCAGAGGGTCATCACTGGTGATCTTGATGACACCGTCATCCAAGGAGTCGCTCTCATCGTCGTCGGAACCATCCGCTGGGTTATCGTACTCATCTGCCGCCGCGGGCTGCACCTCCGGGGAGCGCACCGGATTCGCCTCCGCATCGGTAGAGCGAGACTCACTGGGAGGATGGAACGCGTGTTGTAGGACTTCCGTGGTGGCTTCAATTTCCTCCTCCTCTTCGCTCTCGTCGTCCGGCAGGACAGACAGTTCGCGGTCGATGACAGCCTCGTCCGAGCGGTCCTCCTCTTCCTCGTCAACGTCGACAGACGAGTACTCCTCCACAACCTCCACTTCAGCCTCAGTGGGAGCTTCGACCGTGACAGTAGACGTGCTAGGCAATGGAGAGACGTCGCTGTGCACGATCGCGCGCTCCTTGCCCTTCGAACTGAGCTCCGAGACGAGATCGTCCGCAAGGTCGGGGTCCGGCTCCGTGAGTGTGTCCTGGTCGCTCGCGTCGTCCATGAGCACGTCGAAGTCATATTGTTCAGTGGTCTTCTGGGTTAGTAGCTCGAAGGGAGTTGGGGAGGGCGTGCGCGAGTCTTCGTGCACCTCTACCGAAAGGTCCACGAAATCCGGTTCTTCGACAGGGATGACTGCTGGCTCGTACCGAGCCTCGTATGACTCCTCGTCTTCATCGAGGGCAAGCTCTTCCCGAACCTCGACAGGAGGCTGATAAACTTCTTCCTCAAGCTCAACATCCTGCCCTTCCAGCACATCCTCCTCCCTACCCTCGCTCTCCTCCGCCTCCTCCACTTCCTTCATCACCTCGTCCTCATCCTCGTCCTCCGCAACTCCCTCCTCCCCCTCTTCCAAAGCAGCCAAGCTTCGTCTCGGATGCGGGCTCTTCGGCCGCCCCCACTTATCCATCCTCATCCTCGTACAGCTGCTCGGCGGGTCTGCCTTCGTCGGTATGGCCATGACCCTGAACCTCCCCGTATACTCGCCCGTCGCCTCCTCCGCTTCCTCGCGACCTGCGCCGCGTCCGTCGTCGCTCCAATCGTCGTCACTCGCCGCGTCCAGCGCAGAGAAGTTGAATACGGGTGCCGGGTCGCCACTGGCGTCCTCGTCGTCGGTGAAGACGGGGTCGGACGGGGCGGCCTGTGCCGGTGCAGCCATGATGAGCTCCGGGAGAGGGGCATCCTCGTCCTCGTCCTCATCGTCCTCGCGCATCGGCGAACTCGACAACATAGGTGGGGTATCACGAGAATATGAATGTGTAGAACCATTAAGCGAGTGTGTAGAACCAGCATCGAGAGAGTCGTCAAAGGAGAAAGAAGGAAGGGGAGGGGGAGTACACGGCCTGACCTCGCTCGGGCGCGGTTTCGGCTTCCGGCGTCGAGGCGGGCCAGACAATAACAGCGGGTCGTCCGTCGGGGACGGCGGGGGCAGCGGTTGGGTGAGGTCGATCACCGGCGGCTCCTTCTTGATCGTCAGAGTCAGCCGCTTCGTGCCCTTCGCGCTGTGCACGGACTTGCGCCGGTTTGGCCGCGAGCGCGTAGGCGACTCTTGCGATGGCGAGCAGAAGACCTCGCGCGGCGGCGTAAAACGCTCGCGCGGAGGCTCGTACGGGAAGATCGGCGTCACGGAGCGGCGACGGGCGGAAGCAGATATGTGCTCGCGGCGGCGCGAAGGAGAGGGCGGGATGTAGTCGGCGCGGGGGTTGATGTGATGTGGGGAGAGGAAGAGGGCACGTTTGGAGGGGGACTCAGAGCGGGTGCGGGTAGGAGTAGAGACGGGGGCTACGTCTTTGCTTGTGGAGGGCCGGACAGGCGAAGAGGCTCGGGCGACGAAGTTGACATGGCGCTTGGACTGTTTGCGGGGCTTACTGTTGGGTGTCGCTTCTGCAGCGACGTTGGCATCTCCCAGTGTGCTTCCTCCCTCTCCATGCTCGGCATCGACGTCCGCTGTGTCAGCGTCAGGGATTGCAGTTGTACTTATCTGACGTTTGCGCTTTGCAGCAGACTTCGACGACTTGGATGCCGAGGAAGCGTCAGACGACGCAGTATGAATCTGCTGCGTAGATCCGTCCGCCAAACGGGACCGCAGGGACTACACCAATCAGCTTTGTCCAGGTACGAGTACAATGCCAACATACAACAGATCTATTCCGCCGGAGAAACTCTTCGGGTGGGGGACTGATCAGCATGCGACGCGCATCCATCTCTGCCTGACTCTGCGATGACGGAGGTGTGAAGAGACCCGTATGAGTTGTTCCGGATGAGCTCGGGCGTGCATTTGAGGTGGAGGGTTGGGCGAGAGAGGAGCCATGCTTGCGCCTCGCGGCCTTCGCGTTGTGAGAAGAACCAAAGTGATTAGTGAGATCAGGTAAGATACCGTCGGGCCTGTGGCCGGTGCTCATCGAGAACGTTTGCTGGCAGTATATCCAGACGGCTGCAAATCAAAATAAAGGTAAATAGAGGAAAGGAGGCTCGGAGGAGGAGGTTGGGAGGAGGGAGCGAACAATGAATATACCGTTCAACTGGGTCACCACCCCGCGTCATTCACATCACGTGCGCGAATGCTCCATTGTCCCAATCCCAAGTTCACGGTGGCTAACGCCTGCCTCCTTGCTATGGTCCTTTGGGTCCCCATCCCGTGGGCCGCGCTCGACGGTCTCGAGAGCTTCACGCACAGCCGCAACTACTTCAATGATCTTGCTCGCACGCCTCCGCCCCATCCATCTTTCCAGCACACTGGCAGTCCACTGTTCAGTGACGACGCTGAGAACTTGAACCCGTGCGAAACCGAGGTCGGGGACTGTCACGGCGATGTCGCGTTGTTCGAGAAGACGCTAGCGAACATCGCCAACGTAGAGGTCTCGTGTATCGCAGAGGGTAGCGAGTGGGGAGACAGATAAGTAGGGTAACAGGCTGCGGTTTGCTAATGGTTCTATGCAGTGGCTGCGGGCGCTAAACTATTGCTATGAAGGTCGAACTAGGATCTCTCAAGTTACGGGACTGACTCAGTTCATGATCACGTCGAGTCACGAACGCCAACCATGTAAGTACTGGCCAACTCATATGCGCGCATGCCACATAGGCTACGTCGCGGTATTGGATGTAAGTGGAATACATCACTGCACTGGTTTTCATCGGTTTCCCATGTCAACTCGGTGTCCAACGACCACCAACTGGCAGATTATACACTGCCCTAGTGGCAGTGGTCGTCATCGAATCACTATTCCAGTCTTCAGATAAGTCCTGCGCTGTGCTGAGCCTACGCTCCGAACGTCCTGACTGGTGACTACTTGCACCATACCTGCCGGCTGCCGTTGCGCGCGTATAACACGGATTCACTCGCGTGCTAACATGCCCAAACCTAGTGGAGGCTATTTTCAGCTACCCAACTCTGATACAGACGACGCAGAGGACGTGGTAGAGCTCAAGTCCCCGCCGTCTCCGTCTCGCAATGCCGATGGCCTGCATCCGAGTCTCAGCAAACCAACCACGCGGCAGACGTTTCTTCGCCGTTACTGGCCAACTCTAGTCGGCCTCACATCCTTCTGCGCCTCGCTTGTGCTCTTCAACGCGTCCCTCCGCGTTCCGCCGGACTCTCAATGCGCGAAACAGCTGTCGGCGTACTGTAAGCGCTGGGATTGTTGGCCACTGCGGATGCGGGCTGAGCGAGGTTGGATGTAGCTCCTGCGATAGAAGCGGTGGAATATCGCGATGTCGTCTTCAATGGCTCTCTGCGTCACCCTTCCGAGTTCCGAGGCACTCCCAGTCCAGTGATTGACGCTGCATGGGACAGAATAAGCGACCGTAAGACTTCGCTCACCTATACACCTTCATAGCTCACGTCGTGACCTAGTCAGACCATTGCGCATATTCGAGGACGACCTCGCGAAGATCGGTAAGGAGCCCAAACCGTCGCTCGCCAAGTACCATGCAGAGTTTGGCGGGGGTACATCGCGACGCTCGAGATCGCGCACCACATGCACTGTCTGGTACGTCGTCAACTCGAAGTGTAATCCGCGACCGGGGCCGACAGCTCACCTCCGAGCTCGCAGAACATGCTCCGCAAGAACACGTACTGGGACTACTACGCGCCCCTCGACGACAGCTACCAGCAGGATCCCGCCTTCTACCGCGTGCACCTCGGTGAGTCCCCCATCATGCGCCCCGTCGTCCCCGTTTCCCGCTAACCCGCCCGGTGCCCCAGACCACTGCGTCGAACTGTTGCGGCAGAGCCTCATGTGCACCGCGGACGTCGGGCTCATCACCTTCAACTGGGTCGCGGACCACGGCAGGCCCTGGCCGGACTTCAGCACGCAGCATCGGTGCAGAAACTACGACGGGATCGTCGACTGGAACCAGGAGCGGAGTGTTTGGATCGGAGCGGCGAGTCTCACCCGGACGGAGGGAGTGGTTGACATGCCGGAACCCAAGTCTTGATCGCGATTCGGGATGTTCGGCTTCGTGGTAGGACATGTATCATTAATATCCTAAATTATGGTGATTGTTGCCAAGGAACAGGTAGAGGTTTACTCGAACTCGAAGTCGGTATGTAGGAGGCAGCTAACCCCACTATTAGCGCGGGCGGACATGATCTGTAAGTGCTAACATACCCCTTGTGCAACCCACCTGGCCATGACGGGGGCAAAGCTCTGACCTTGGGCCGCGACCTGCAAGGACATCCCCACACCTTGAAGGGAATGGTCTTCGGCATATGCAAACGCGGCTGGCAGACCGTCGTGGCACAGCACACTACTTACATTGTCGCTCCAGTTTCCTCATCTGACTCTGACGAGGAAGGCGACAGTGACGGGAGCTCTGTTGACACGGTGATGGCCGGTCCCGCGGGTGGTCGTGAGCGAGTTGCAAAGAATGGGATGCAGCAGTAGCTGTGCTGAGGCAGTTGTATGTCTCTATCTGTATTGCTTGCTGACCCCGTGTTTGTACATTCAATGCGTGCCTTGACCATATAGCTCGGTCTATCTCCATTGCTTAGACATGTGTAACCTGCTCTTGTTTGCTGGCGTGCCTTCCTCAGTTCTCTGTGTGCCATTGCTATGTACCGATACGCGTTCGCCCTGTTTCTCCGCCACTGGCTAGCTGGGATAGATAGCGATGCTATACAAATAGGTCTCGAAGAACTTGAACTTCGCGATGTTGGGATCCGAAGTTGGTAACAAGAAATGATGACACTCGAAGTACATGCCCTTGGATATAGTCCAGTTAGATGAAGGATATAGGATATCATTTTTGCGCACGAAGGTCGTTCGGAAAGTCTGACTGGGGAGTCACGGTCCGTGAAGCATATTCAACCAAAAAAGGAAACCGGGAGGCGTGTTACAAGCGGGGGTATATTAGACGCCGAGCCGATCACTGTCGGGTACCATCATGAACGTCATTATTGCCGCCCTCGCGCCCGACCCGCCACCGTCGCCGCTGCTCGACCTCCCCACCGAGCTCATCGTCCGCATCCTCGCCCGCCTCCCCTGCCCCGCCTTACTCTCCTGCAGACTCGGCAACCGATCGCTCCGCACCCTCATTGACGCCGACACAAGCCTCCAATACACCATCGAGCTCTATGCCGCCGGGGCAGTCGACAACCCCGCGTCGCGCCATGTCCTGGCTGACCGCCTGCGCATTTTGAAGGAGCGGGAGAGAGCATGGCACCGCTTGGAGTTCTCTCGGATTGCGCAGATTCAGGTGCCACACAACCCCTCGAGCATCTACGACCTCACCGGCGGGATGTTCCTGCTCGGCGAGTCCTACTCGCGAATGCTGCCGGCTTGGAGGTCTACGGACGCCACGCGATCCATCAATCTGCGCGCGGCGTTGAAGGCCGATAGCACTGCGGACGTTCTGGACGGCCTGTGGGCACATATAGACATCCACTCGAAGATCATGGACGTCGGGATCGCCGCGCAGGAACATGACTTGATCGCAATCGTGACTTACTCGTATGCCCCATCTCACCACTCGCTCTTATGCGCAGTCACCGCGGGCAAAGCAGCTAATTTGGACTCCGAAAATCTTGAGAACAGGGGAGTTTACGGGGAACCCTTTCGAAAAAACGACCGAAGGGTAGGGGAAAACTCTAGAGTGCTTTCGGACGTGGACGCGCTGCACCTCTGCGATCGACTCGTGCCTCGCCTCCCTCAGATCGCTAATGCTCGACGAAAACCAGCCTTCGCAGGGTTTTCCAAGCATTTTCAGAAGTCCAGCTGGCATGATATGGGATCACGCCGGATGCAGCAGACTCCGATGCGGCCAGGCTGAGCCAGGCAGCCGCGACTTTGGCTACGGTGGCCAGGTTGAGTGGCAATTGTCCAGGTCGCTCGATACTAACGCCCGACGACCCCCGCTCCTATACGCACGTTTTTTGGGGGGGGGGGGGCCTACGTCGTGGACCTAGCTAATTCCATATTGCTAGACCCCTTGCCAACAAGAGCGTACAGGCGGGGTTCGTCGGCCTTGGTACTCCTTCTGTGTGCCCATCGACATTTTTACCATGACGGGCAGTGTCGAGGGTGGACTAGGCCGAGATTTGAAGCCGAGGTTAACCGGCGCAGCGTGCGGATCACCTGAAAACAAGGCCAGACGAAGGCCCGACGCCTTCCGCCTGTGCATACGTTTTCGGGAGGGGATCTAGCAATATGGAATTAGCTGGCAAATCCGCTGGACTCTGCCTATGTGTATTTGAGAGGTGCGGGGCCCGACGATGTGGACTTAGCTGTCATTGTGCCTCCAAAAATGTTCCCCGTAAACGCCACTGTTCTTAGCAGTTCAAGAGTCCTAAGAAGTTGATTTTCCCGAGGCGAGTACTAAGTCTGCCTGCGCAGGTTTACTTTAGCGAACGAGATCCTAGCGGACCTCAGGATCCACTTGGTCAAATTGTCAACCGGAGGCCACCATCCCGCTGCGTCCCAGCCTGTCTTACAGGTCCCGAGGATGCCGTTTTTCCCCGGCCACTGCAGCGTCTCGATTGAGATCGTCGGGGACACGCTCGGCGTCCTCTTCAACTCCTCGCGCCTCTTGAATGCCCGCGGAGACGCGACGCCCGCTGTTTCATTCTACGTCTACAACTGGAAAACTGGAAAACTAAAATTCGTCAGTCGGACGTCCGCATTGCTTCACGCGAAATAACTCATTCCCTTCATTCTAGACACGTACGGCGAACGGGCCCCATTATAACGCGTTCTGCTTCCTCTCGCCAGACGTGATCGTTCTACCGAACATCACCGCCCGCTCGCTGGAGCTCTGCTCACTCAGCGTGCCCGAAGGCTCCTCCGAGGACCCGGCGCCGCTGCAGACGCTCTGCAGCCTCGCGCTGCCCCGCATCACGTCCAGCACGCTCCTGCACCGGATCTGGTGCCGCGCCGAGCCGAACGCGCTCGCGACGTGCAACGGCACCTTCGCCGACGCGCCGTTCTTCAGCGACCCCGCGCGCGCGGTGATCATCTTCAACGTCGTCGCGCAGGACCTGCTGAACGGCACGCTGCACTACCTGTCCCTCGTCGTCCACCGCTCCTCGCTCCTCGCGCGCCTCGAGCTCGCTCCCCAAGTCTCGCCGGCATCGTCGCCGGCGATGCAGCCCCCGCACGTGGAGTGGGCGGAGTGGGGCCCGCCCGTGTGCGTGTGGCTCGACGGCGACGGGCTCGCGATCCGCTGGATCACCGTCACCTGCGGGCAGCGGCTCGTCGTCATGAGCCGGGAGAGCCCCGCGCCCATCCTGGTCTACGACTTCAATCCGCGCGGGGTCGCCCGCCGGACGAACATGGCCCGTGCGCGGGGACGGCTCATCCGGGAGTCGGCGCACAGCGACCTGGAGTGCTATGACGGCGCGGCGAAGACGGTGTTTTTGCGGCGCGCGGCGCTGCTGTCGACGGTGTTTGAGGAGCCGGTGCGGTCCGAGATGGGGTACAGCGTGACGGAGACGATTGAGGAGTATGACTACGAGAGCGTGATGATGGACGAGGGAGTTCTGATCGGCGTGCGGGTGCGTGCTGTTGATTGAGTCGGCGTTGCTGTTTGCTGACGTTCGAGGCAGCTGGACACTGAGGCGGACAATATCGAGAGTCTGGTGCTGCATGCGGTCGGGCCTGTGGCGTGAATTGTAGATCACTGTGATGCACCAGTAATGTGCTGATCCTCGGGTGGTCGCCAGCAGCCCCTTACTCAACTCATTTGTGATTCAGATGTCAACAAGTAGCTCTACTAGGAATCAATGGAACGTCGTGCACTCTCATCGGGACTACCTGTCAAGCGGCTCAGTGTGCTAGGGACAGAAAGAGGATGTCAATCAAGTTCAGATTTCAAATCCCGCGAGCCATCGGATTCGTTGTACGAGCAACCCGAACGGCCGCGACGCTGCGAGCATAACAGTGGATAACCAAGGATCGTATTGCGCGCGGAGCGCTGTAAACGGGCGACTGATTACGTGGGTTATGGTATGGTACGAGGCTACTTCGTCTACTTCAGCACGGATCATTCTTAGCACTGAGATGTGTCTCGGATGCCCGTCGGCGAGTGCACTCCAAGCTGAGTAAATACTACATGGACACATCAACTGTAGGACGCGTCCAACGTGACGTTCGCGTTGACCGTCCCGTTCTCGTAGCGGATCCACGACTGCAGAGGGCTCGTCGGGTCAGGCGACGAGAACACGATGTTACGCACGCCGTGGCCCCACCAGGAGTCGCTGTAGCCGCCGTAGCTATGTATGATGTGAGAGTTTGTAGGCCGCAATGCGATATCACACGAAGCGACATACCCAGAGTGCTTTCCGAAGCAGAATATGACGTTCTTCGTGGGCTCGCGGACGCACCACTCGTTGCCGTGATCTACGAGGCCGGCCGGGGAGGGGGCGTCCATGATCAGTGAGACACGCTGAACAGATAAGGGAGCGTACCGTGGCCAGAGAAGACTGCGTGTAGGTTGGGCACGTATTGGTTGAGTGCGTCCCAGAACGGCTGGTCCTTGCCGAGGTTGGCGGACTCGGTCGTCGCTTCGGTGGAGCCGGAACCCAGGACGTCGGCTGTTGTTGGGAGGTTCAGACGGCCATGTTCGTCTAGGGACATCAAAGGCTACAACGTACCGTTGAGTCCGGGATCGCGAGTGCTATTCAGGTCGGGTTGGAGGGCCTGGATAGCGTGCCTGCGAAGAACGGGCTAAGCGTATGAAGGGAACCACGGTAGCGGAATTTTGCTCACGGAGGGATGTGGACGAATGCGAGAGCACCCCGAGAGGTGCTGGCTGGGCCCCATGCCGCGTCCATCGCTTCCGCTTCTGACTGGATCCAGCCTGCAACTGTCTCATCGACCCAGTCGGGAACCGCGGTTGAATTCTCTCCCTTGCTAAAGCCACCTGCAAGAGCGGATGGCTGTATAGAGATGTGCATGGCACGTGTGTATGAAAACGCACCCCGTGAATCGAAGAACCACAAGATCAGCTTCGGGGTAACGTCTGGAGTAGCATTCAGGTCAGTCGCCCAGTCCTGACATTATACAACATTCGCGGATACCAGAGATATGCTCGTAAACCTAAATGGCGCATTGGGTCAGCGGGAATGCTACAGGTAGGAACAGAGAAGAGCTACGCACAGGTACCCAGTACGTTCCGGGTCCTTGCTCGCCTCCGATGCCAGGCGGCGCCGTGCGTGTGTAGCTGAGCGGTGCGACCAGCTGCTCGCGCTTGATCTCCTCGAGGTGCGTGATGTTCGGTTCGTTGTCATGGTTCTGGATTAGACGCTGTTATTAAATGAAGTGCGGAGGGCGAGGGATGAAAGTACGCCTTGGGTAGACGAGAAAGGTATCTGCGCTGCATTCAGAGGAGCGACAATCTCGTCTATGAGGTGCGTCGAGTTCTGTCGGAAGGTATCTGTATGAATTGAGACACTGTGAGAATGCACTCGGGATAGTAATGTCGGCAGGCTCACTCTCGCCAGTGATCAGGTCCCCGTTCAGCACCCTGTCAGGGCAGTTACATTGACCTGTCGACATCGTAAGTCTCCTGTACTTACACATAGTCCGGTTTCTCGTCCGCCAAGACGATGTTCATCAACTCCGTGCTGTTGATGTCCTGTTGCGGGCCCCAGGCGTCCCACGGGTTCTCGCCGTAGTGCAGGTCGCAGAAGACAGTGATCTTGAACGTGCCATCTGGGCGAAACGCGATGCGCGGCTTGGTGGGGTATGGGTCCAGATCAGCGACGAACGACGTCTCTGAAATCGAGTCAATCAGAGTTCACCGTCAACCTTCAATCACAGTGACCGACATACGAGAGCGCGCATGCGGAGCTGCACTAGCTAGAGGCAACATTAGGCTGCTCCACAAGCCGAACCACATAGTGATCCAGTACGTGAATGCCATGGCTACTACGCGGTCAAGGGCTCTGAGTCGTACGCGTCAGTGTCAGCCACGAGAGTTTCCCAGTACGAGACTGACGACGGCTCTTTATAGCAGCTTCGCTGATTGCGAGTAAGTTACCGGTGTGAGGAAGGATCTCAGGAAGCTCTCACCAACGTGCACCTTAGAGGATACGAATCTGGCTATGCACGAGAGGGCCGAAGTGCACGTTCGCAGCAAAATCCGGAGCCGGTCAGCTTCGAGTTACTTTTATGCGCCCGCACCCGCAATCTGGAACAGAGAAACTGCAAGAAAGGAACGGTGACGGTCGAATGGCGCCAATCATAAAGTTGGATCGCCGAGAGCCCCATCAAGCGTCCATATGGGCAGTGAGCTACTTGTCAAGTGTGTTCTCAAGGAGCTTGTCAATGAGACCCAGCAAGAAAAGGATGACCGGAACCAACACGTGTGAGACCGGGCCATTGACGAATCAAATCAACTCGGAAGATAGTTGAAGACACACCGTTACAGTCAACACGATCTGCCAGTCATTGCAGAGGAACAGAGCGTGATGATGTCAAACGACCTTCATGCGCAACAGTGATACTGTGTTCGGCCCCGATCTCGGCCACACTAGGTAGTCGGTCATTCGAGCCTCAGACGTCCGCGATACCTACTATGGCCAGATTTTCGACACTAACACGTTGCTACACATCACATCATGGCCCACACGAACTTCCAGGCCTCTACAGTAAAAATCGGGAGCAAGACGGCGATTTGAAACGGTGATAGCCATATTTGGCAATTGTCACCTGGGGCCCTTCGCCCCGGAACGACCTCCTCCTATCCTGCGCACCCCTTCGATGCCAGATTTCACACACACACACTTGTACGTACGCCTTATCATCAGAGCAGGCTTCCTGTGCACGTAAACGGTTCACAACATTGCCTAGGGAAGCCTCGGGTCTTTCTGCTCATCGATCAAGGCTCTGCTGGAGTGTGCCCACTGGACTGCAGAGTGTCGAAACACGGTCCTCAAAAGGGTATCCATACATGTTATAGGTGCTGATTTAACGTCTCTGATAGTCCACACATTTTTACTGATTTTTTTCGTGGCTCTACAGATGTGCACTTAACGCCGCCCATCTGCCGCTCATCCACCACTCATCCATCATCCATTGCAAGTGCAGCCACGAACATCACTGAAATGAAGGCATCTATTCATGGCGAAGTCCTGCTGAATAGGTCTATTCATTTGTAGAAGGTTCTGTTCACTAATGTGCCTGATATCGTCAGGCAATGAGTGCACTTCGAGTCTTCGACAGCATGTGCCGCCTCCGCCGCACCACGACACACTGCAACGGCAGGCCATTGTGCGCAGCGCCATAATCTCCATGGATGCCAGGATGCGAGAGATGTCAGAGTGTCACGGGAAAGGAGAACGGACGGCATATAAGCACCTGGAATTGTCGACTGGTGAGTCCCCTATCGCAACCTACCTTGGGCCACTGCGACGCTCAGGCTGACTTCCGACTCTTCTCACTGTATTCACGACAAGCATCATGCCGAGCGACTCCTCCAGCGATCACGATTCTGTCGATAACGTTGAGGATCTTCGTGAAATGCATCCCCTCATAGAATTGTCGGACTCGGACGACTCCTGCAATGAAGATGCGAACGGTCCATCCAATTCTGCGTCGGATGTGGATGACGACAGTGGTGAGTCGACCGGTTATGGGGGTAGTAGTCCCCGACTATTAGTTGCGAAAGGGCGTGCTCACTTACCTGGCGTATTAGGCAATGAAGAGGACTCTTCTCCCGGTGACCTACCCAGACTGATCAGTGTCCACGAAATGTGTGCCGAGGAGGACCGTGAGGCTCAGGCTGCCGCTTGTAAGTACATTCACTATCTTAATCTGTGTTTCCTCGTAAGCTAAATGATCTGTAGGCCCCAAGTTGCCCGCGGACTACAACACCACCAGTGCAGACAACGCCGACGACAGCGCTGACATTCGCGCGGCTGCAGATGGATCCGCTGATCAATCCGGGCCCGAGAATGACACCGAGAATGGTACATTATGAATACGAGCTTGATAACGATCAATTTACCGATAGTACTTGCATGTCAAGTGTTGCTAGATGACGTGAAGCCACCCAGTGCAGACTTCGCAAACAATGAGGAGCGCATACAGGCAGCGTTCGCTGCTGTGAAGAGGTCGGGGTTCAAGCGAAACGGCAACACCGTCTACTCGCTCCGCAAAGCTGCCATCGACTATGGTGTTCATCGTTCCACGCTGATGGGTCGCTTCAATGGTGTGCCGACCCGCGAGGAAGCTCATGCCCACGAGCGTAAGCTCTCGGCAGCTGCCGAGCTTGTTCTCGTTGACTGGATCAAGGAGCTTGGCCGACGTGGTGTCCCCCTCTCTCAGCGGGCAGTGATCGATCACGCATCTGACATCGCAGGCAGTCCTCTGGGAGAGTCGTGGTACAAGCGCTTTCGGGGGCGCCACCCTGACTTGTCTGTCCGCTGGACCACCTCGCTCGAGGAATGCCGTGCACGATCGCTGAACCGCACCAATGTCACGAGGTTCTACGATGTGCTGCAGGAGGTTGTCGAGCGCCATGGCATTCCTCCCGAGAACATTTACAACATGGACGAGAAAGGCGTACAGCTTGGAATCAGCGATCACGTCAAGGTTCTTGTCGATCGCGACCAGAAGACGGTCTACAATATCGAGCCCGGTAACCGCGAGCTTGTTACGATCATTGAAGCTGTCAGTGCTGATGGGACCATGGTCCGCCCTTGCGTGATTTTCAAGGCAATTCGTCGCAATCTCAAGTGGGGGGAGGTGAATCCAGCGAATGCAAGGTGAGTAGTAGTACAACAGCTTCATTGTGCATACCTGATACTCATTGTTCTCGCAGCATCGCGACGTCGCCTAACGGCTGGACGGACCAACAGCTGGGTGCCCAGTGGCTCGAAAACGACTTTGACCCTCAGACATCTGGCGCGCATAACAAGTCTGGCCGGCGTCGGCTTCTCATTCTAGACGGACATAACTCTCATTGTACCTATCGATTCTGCAAGTATGCCGTCCTGCACGGTATAGAAATCATATGTCTTCCTCCGCACACAACCCATGCCTTGCAGCCATGCGATGTTGGTGTCTTTGGGCCACTTGCAAAATCGTGGAAACGCGAGGTGGCTGCTGCCCACCAGGATAGCGTAGCCATTACAAAAATGAATTTCTTGAGGTACTACGGTGCTGCTCGTGGACGCGCATTCAAAGAATCCACGATCATCTCCGCATTCAGGAAGACAGGGATCTGGCCCCTCGATCGGGATGCCATTCCGGATATTGCCTACGCGCCTGCACTAAATAGCACCACACAAGGTGCACCAGTTCTTTCCAACCATCTCACGCTCCCACACATCTTCCTCCCTGTCTCTGACGAACACGCCACCTCGATGAGCATCATGCCGTCCTCCTCCTCCCTCCCTGTCCTGCAGGCTCCTGGCGCCTCTGACCCTCTGAGTCAGGCTGTGGCTACAAACCAACCAGCCGGCTTCCTCCTTGTTGGCCTTCCTCGTGCTCTACCTATCACAGCTTCACGCACAGCTCTTCTCAAACACTCGGATGAGCTCCGTGCAGTCGCAGCTGCCTGCTTCGAGCAGGTGCAGAAACATCACGCGGAGTTGCGCCTCCAGGCGCGCGAGAATGAGCGATTGCGGCGTCAGCTGTTCGAAAAGTCGCAGGGAAAAGGCAAGAAAAATCTAGTGACTGGTCTCCCAAGACATATGACGAGCGAGCAGGTCCTCGCAGAACTCTCCCATGCAGACATCCGCGCACTAATGAAGCTCGTCTTCGCCGAGGCCGCTCCGAAGTTCAAGGAGCGTCGCAGGCTCATTGCGCAGTTCTACAAGGACCTTGGAGACGCCATCACGATAGCTAATCGCGAGAAAAGGGAGAAGGACGCTGCCGAAGTGAAGGCTGAGAAAGAGCAGCGACGCCTGCAGAAGCAGGAGGAGACCATAGCAAAGAGGAACGCCAAGGCGCAGGAACAAGCAGCTGTTCGTACGGCCAAGGCTGAGGCAGCGCAGAAGCGGGCAGCCCTCGCTGCTGCCACACGTAAGGAGAAGGAGGAGAAGAAGGCGGCGAGGGAGGCGAAGAAGGCGGCGGCGGCGGCCGTCACAGCTGCAAAGAAGGCGGCCAAAGGGGCTGCCACTACTGCCGCCGCTGCCGCCTCCAGCGACAGTGTGGCGAGCACTACCACTAGCGTGGAGGTCGGTGATGACAGTGCGCTGCCTACTAGCCCCCAGCATCCTCCACCACATGGTGTACGCCCCCGTCCTCTTCGTCGCGGTGCTGTCGGAGTGTTGGATCAGCGCCCTGTCACTCCTCCTAATAATCCCGCTCCCTTCGCAGCCCTCCAGGGCATGACCAACACACCTCGCACACCATCTGCACGTCGTCTCCAGCAGGAGATTGCAATCACTGCTTCCCAGGAGGCTGACGAAGGGGGGATCTGGGTGGAGCCAGATGCAGATCCGGCTGAAGTTGCACTGCTCACGCGTCGAGCTCCTCCTCCGCGTTATGAGCTACGCCGTGGTGCACGTCGCAGAATGCAGTAAGGTACTCCTGATCTCATTCCTCAGTCAAATATCATCCACATCCGTTGCATTTCGTTCGCTATACCCCTCCTGCGGTGTGGGCGCCTGAACCGGCGCTTAGATCATGGGAGTCTCCCACGCATGGCCGACTGGATCGTCTGTCCGTATCTGTGTACCTCATGTGTAAAAATATTCGTCACCGTCGTGTTGCTGTACCTAAAATTCTATCGAGCTGTCCAACGTCTTCCTTACATAGTCTGTCATGAATCTGCATAACAATTTAGGCCCAGTGATGCCTAGAGCGACTCAGGGGAAGTGAACAATGGCTTAGGTGGCCGAGATCGGGGCCGAACACAGTATCCTTTAATGGAACTCATTCAAAGGCATGTACCCCCAAGGTATGAGTATTATCCATTTCCACTTTCGGAGCCTACTACTACTACTAGTACTAGTACTAGTATCAACATGAAGTTCTTCGACCGAATTCGTACAGCATCACTATCCATCTCAGACAACTTGCAGATAACTTGCGCCTCCAGGGAGACAGAGTGGAGACGTGTCTGTAGCACTGGTGCACAGAGCTCTGATGAGGCACGCCAGCAAACAAGAGCAAGTTGAACCAACCTGAGCAGTGCAGATAGACCGAGCGATATGGACAAGGCACACATTGAGTATACAAACACGGGGTCAGCAAGCAATACAGGAGCCAGATAGATAGACATACAGCTGCCTCAGCACAGCTACTGCTGCATCCCGTTCTTTGCAACTCGCTCACGACCACCCGCGGGACCGGCCATCACCGTGTCAACAGAGCCCCCGTCACTGTCTTCCTCGTCAGTCTCATCGCCCTCCGAGTCCTCGTCTGAAGCACGAGCTTCAGCGGCAATCTTCTCCTCCCGCGCCCGCTCCTTCTTTGCCAATTCAGCCTCGATGTCGATGCCTCGCGCACGGGCATAGGACTCTGCCTCCTTCAACTGAGTCACTGCAAGTCGGATGCTGAGTTTCTGAGTTTCCATGAGTGAATGGAGGAGATCGATTTGACGGCGCTTTTCAGCGATCTGGGCCTGCATGATTTCAAGCTCGGCACGACGCGTAGACATGGAGGCCTCCTTTGCGTCGATCATTTGCGCAAGGGCATCGGAAGAGAGCCCCTCGAGATGAAGGGGCTCTGCCTTGTGGTGAAGTTAGCGGCTCGTCTGATGAGAGCACTGGAGAGACGATGTACCTCGGCAGCAAGGCAAAGCGGGAATATCTGTGAAAGGCCTTTGATCACCTTAGTGGATGTCCAGGCATCGAGATAGCGCTGTTCATCTGAAACGAATGGTGGCACGGTCACAGGGTGCAGGACAAGATAATATAACGCGAGTTACCTTGATGATACGTTGAAAATATGCATAAGGCCGACATCGTAAGTCACTCTATTATACGGTGAACTTATGATGTGACATGGTCACAGTAAGTCGAAGCCACTTACGCTGATAAAATGATGCTTAGAATGTGATGTCATGTCACACCGTAAGTTCACAGTAGTCGGCCGCCCCTTACGTTGACTCTATTGTGACAAAGCGTCACAACGTAAGTTCAAAGCAAGTCGTTGCGTGTTACGGTAATAGAAGCCTGTAGAAGTGTAGTTAACATCGAGATGTTGCGGTACACATATTTTAATCATATCCTGAACCTATTTCGAGTCGCCCACGAGGTTGTCTGGCGAGCGCTTGATGGCACGGTAGGACAAAGGATGGCCGGGACAGTCAACAACGGTCAAGGACGGTCAGTGACGGTCAGTAACCGTTAGTCAATACTGTGTAACAATGGGTACTTGTGTTGCCTTTTCCGCTATCGACGCATCCATTCTGAGGAGCGCGCCCGGGCCATTACCAAATTCGGTAATGCAACCGAGCACCCGCCGCTCGGACTGTCAGTGTCATATCAGAGCAGATGGCGGCTCAGCATATATTGCATTAGTTTATGCTGAACATATGCTAATGATATCTAATAGGCGGCAGACCGTCCTTGACTGTCCCAACCGTCATTGACCGCCACCGGCCACCCCGGGCCGCAGGAATCCGGGTGGCTTCGCGGGAACTGGGTAATCTGCCCTCGCTAATGGTGACCGTATCAGGACACCTTCAAGGTTTTTACCAGAATATGTCTGCACTACAGTATATGCTGACCCATCTACTCACTGAAATTCTAATCAGGGTGCCGCACACACTCTGATCATATCCCGAACAGACAGTTCCCGCGAAGCCACCCGGACTCCTGCGGCCCGGGGTGGCCGGTGGCGGTCAATGACGGTTGGGACAGTCAAGGACGGTCTGCCGCCTATTAGATATCATTAGCATATGTTCAGCATAAACTAATGCAATATATGCTGAGCCGCCATCTGCTCTGATATGACACTGACAGTCCGAGCGGCGGGTGCTCGGTTGCATTACCGAATTTGGTAATGGCCCGGGCGCGCTCCTCAGAATGGATGCGTCGATAGCGGAAAAGGCAACACAAGTACCCATTGTTACACAGTATTGACTAACGGTTACTGACCGTCACTGACCGTCCTTGACCGTTGTTGACTGTCCCGGCCATCCTTTGTCCTACCGTGCCATCAAGCGCTCGCCAGACAACCTCGTGGGCGACTCGAAATAGGTTCAGGATATGATTAAAATATGTGTACCGCAACATCTCGATGTTAACTACACTTCTACAGGCTTCTATTACCGTAACACGCAACGACTTGCTTTGAACTTACGTTGTGACGCTTTGTCACAATAGAGTCAACGTAAGGGGCGGCCGACTACTGTGAACTTACGGTGTGACATGACATCACATTCTAAGCATCATTTTATCAGCGTAAGTGGCTTCGACTTACTGTGACCATGTCACATCATAAGTTCACCGTATAATAGAGTGACTTACGATGTCGGCCTTATGCATATTTTCAATGTATCATCAAGGTAACTCACATCATATTATCTTGTCCTGCACCCTGTGGGTGGTGTAACGAGCACCGGCGTGTTCAGGCTTAACGGCCTCGCGATAGGCATCAGCAAGCTTGCGATCATTGCTCGATGAGCTAGCAGCGGCTGGCGGCAGGGAAGAGGACGATGCGTATACGGACGCCATGATACTCTCCGGTTGCGAGCGTGGTTGAGATTGCGGCAAGCTGGAGGTGGTGGCTATTGAGTCGTGAGAGCTTGAGAGCTTAAGTACGTGAACTGTACATGTGAAGCCGTGAGTCTTTGAGTTACGATGTATTCGCACTTACCATGTGCATTGCTGCATCCGCTCGCGTTATGCCGGGGGATATCACGAAGTCCTCAGAGGACAGTGACATCTTGACGTCCTCAAACACATGGACAACACGCTGCAGAAGAGGCCCTTCCCCGACATTACAGCGCACAGCGTCTGCCTGAGGTTCTCAGCATCGCTGGTTCTTCGAACGGCGCGGTGACCTCGATTGGACCTCGACGAGCTCATTGGATACTGTGTGTAAGTAGCACAGCCGTCGACACTTTCCGAATCTCCTTTCATGGCACAACAGTTTGGACCATCACTGAAGAGGCAGTCGACGCGATTCAAAGCCAGTGCTGAGTCCTGCTTGGATCCGGTGAGAGGCGACGCGCGTGAGTGAATGAAAGCAAGGGGCAGCGGATGCGTCGCGTCGCGTCACGCGTGTAGACAAGCGCGGTCACGCACTGACCGTCACACCCGGCCTTGCTCTTGCCTTTCTTCGCTGGACGTCTGCAACGCCTGTACGCATCCTCTCTCCCACTCTCTATTATCTTAAATACTCTGACTCACTGTCAAAAAGGTCTGCAGCATGGTCTTGCCACACTATCTCTGCTCGAGCGTCCAAAATGCCTTCCGTGCAAGGCACGCCCGCATCGCCGTCAACCACACCCGTCAGAACCTCGGCATCCTCTCCATCCTCCTCCGCTCTGGGATCATCTCCTCGCTCACGCGCGGTACCATCTCTGAACCCTCACCCGACGCTTTTCGCGAGGCGGGCGACGCCCAGAGGAGAATCTGGGTCGAGCTCAAATATCGCGATGACCGGCCGGTCCTCACGCACATGGAGCTCGTCAGCAAGCCCAGCAAGGGCATCAGCATGGACCCGTCGGAGATCCGGAGGATATGCACCGGGCGGAGGGCGAAGAACGTCAAGCCACTAAGGATGGGCGAGGTGGCTGTCATTCGGACGAACAACCAGGAGCATGAGTGGCTCGAGGCGAGGGAGGCCATGCAGTTGCAGCTCGGCGGGGAGGTAATTTGCAGGGCACGATAGTCCTCGTGGATGGGCCCTCATTGTGTAAAGTGAGTCACATATCACCGTGCGCACCTGTTGTTGGCTTACTGAAAGGATTGCAGTTATGTCCCTGCAGTCGCGCTAATCCGTGTTTCCTCCAAATTGGCATTGCTACGCTTGATTGAGTCATGCATCGGTGCGCCGAAAAAGGCTCAAAGGAACACAGTCAGAACACAGTCATGATTCGGAAGGGTATGATGGGGGATGCGGCTATAGTACAATGCCCTGGTATCCAACATGCGGTATGGTATAATGTTCTGATAGCGTCCTCCTATCCGACATGCCTACTCCTGCGCGACTGTTTGATGGTCCCGGGCCTCTCCATTGCCACTTTCAGTGACCGTATTGTTTGCACGATCTCGGCTGACAGAGAAGTCGCTCAGCCAGGATGTACCCACGATGTCACGACTGCACGTACCAGCTAGCTTGGCGCTCTCAGCCTCAAAGTCATAGCGTTTATTCCTCTCCGCGTTGCCGCGGACGACTAGCTTGAACGTGGAGCTGTTTTTGCTCGACTGCTGACAGGCTACAACGCTCTTGAGGTGGTACGAGGATGTCTTGCCGCTCTCGAAGACGTGCTTGGCCTTGTTCGACATGGGTATGATCTACAGGAACCCGATCAGCGTCGTCACGGTGCAAGATTGGGGTTCATACGTGAAGGTAGCCTCCGTCGATAGCGAGCAACCGTGCACTGCGCGTGACCAGCATAGGAACCTTGCGGTACACAGTATATTTCTGGCGAAGAAAGTCAGTAACAGCACAGACTCCCCACATCCTCACTTCCGCACCTTATACGCATTTGTCGGGTCGAATATCGAGTTGAACGGCGTGTCGATGACTTCCGATTGCCGCTTGAGGATAGACGCTATGAACGCCAGTCAACTTCACAGCCATCTTAGGATCACAGTGAACGCACCATTCGGATCCGTCGTCCTCCCCGAGCCCGTATTCATCTCAACCCCGTAGTTCTGGAGCATGGTCCGCTTCATGAGGATGAGGTCGCGCTTGCCCTGCAGACTCTTCACCGTCCGGTCCAGTGGGATGTACACCTTCATCGCGCCGTGGTCAAGCACGAGCGCGTAGTCCTTCGGGTTGCTCAGCTTGCGCTTCTGGCAGACCGCTTCGAGCACCTCCGCCATGTACATGCCACCAGAGCTGTATCTCGCACTTGAGTGCTGGCCTGTGCGCGTAATGACGACGAGATACGTACGCTTGGATAGTCGTCGAGACGTGCCCCGCATCCGCCGTGTCCGCAATCCTGATCCGCAGGAACTGGGGCGGGCCGTGGCTCGTCGAAGGGCCGAGTGAGCTGGGGAACATGCCCAAGGAGGACGCGAGCGAGCTCAGGCCGGCGCTCGTCCCGAGCAGCGTTTCGGTTGGTAGTGCGAGGGCGTTCGCCGCCCCGATGTTGTTGAGCAGGCCTGTGGATTTCTTCTTCTTGATGACGATGCGGGAAGCGCGCCGCTGGATCTTGGACTCGAGCACCTTGTTTTGTTGGACTGAAGGGTGGGTCAGTCGATAACATGCATGTTTAGCAGGTTATACAGACCTTGCGCTTGACTCGCTTCAAGCACAGCATAAGCATCGAAGTTGAACTTCGATATCCTGCCCGTGCGATCCGGCGCTGCATAAGATGAGAGCAGTCAGCAGCCATCTACGTCCAAATCGCAGTGGACAGACATACGCGGGAAGTCCTCGTCCACCTCTCCGTCATCCTCCGCAATCCGCATCACCCAACCCACCGCCGAACATCTGCTCTCCCACTTCGGATCCTCCTCTCCCTGCAAGCCCTCGTCAATCTTCGGTAACCACCCCTCCTCCCAGTAAGTACACAATGCAAAGCCAAGCACCTCCTCCACTGACGCGTCTTTCCGCACCTTCAGTTCGAGCGGCTTGCCCGCAGGCTTGCGCACATGCGGGAAGTACACGTTCACTACCATACTTTCCGAATCAGAGCGGGCCGCGATCGCGCTATAAAGCTCCGTGAACGGATTGCTCGACGACGAGCCCGACGATTCCGCGAGCATCGCGCTCAGCGCGGACTGGCCCGGGCGCGCAGACGGGACGGGGCGACGCGCGAATGGGTTCTCGCCCGGCGCGCTCGAGGGGCCCAACGCCCGCTTGGTCGGCGGGGCGAGGAAGCCGGGAGCCTTCGCCTTGTCCGCCTTGGGCGCAGGGATGACCATGTCGAAGCCGAGCTCGATGGGCGCGGATTCCTCTGGCCGCTCGGGCAGCGCTTCGACGGAGGTCTCCTCGCTGTGCCGGCCCTCCCGCACAGGGCTAAGTCGGCTGCGCACACGAGAGCTGCTGCCTTGGGGCAGCGAGGAGCCGACCATGGAGGACGCCTCGGAGGTGGACATGATGGAGTTGGTGCCGGACATGATGGAGACGCCATCGCTATCAGTGTGCATGTCGAGGTCTCCGCTGAGGCCACGACTTGCTGCGAAGTCACTGTGGAGTGTGTGAGTGAGATGGGTGTGCAAGCATTGGGACAAGAAACATACGGATCGAATTCCTCGCCATCTATGTCGATTGCGTCGTCCACTTCCGGAACCATATCGAACTCATCTTCATCCTCGTCCTCCGGTATGTCTTCGTCCACATCATCCTCCGACTCATCCTCCGAGGACGACAGCTCCGGGTAAATGTACTGGGTCGATGGTGGAGGGCGGGCCGCCGTAGGAGGCGGCTGCGCCCTCGCGAGCATCCGCAGCTTGCGTCTTGCCTCCATCTCCGCCGCGCCCTTGAATCGAGGGTGGAACTCCGGCGATATAGTCTTCTGCGGCTCCTTCTGCTCCTCTGCACCAGTAGTCGTGTCGGAGGCAGGCGCAAACATACCATTAGCAGCCCCATCCGGCCCGTCCGCCGCGCTGCGCTTCGATGGTGACGCTGGTGCGTCCTGCGCTGCCTCCATGGCGCTCTTCTCCCCAGGGGGCACGCTCGGGCCCACCTCCGTCGCCGAGCGGATCGAGAACCTATACGAGTTCTTGGATGCTGCCGACGCCCTCTTCCCATTCACCCGCAAGCCCATCCCACCCACCCTGCTCGGGCCCATGATCGTCGTGGTGTACTTCAAGCCCGTCGCGCCAAACTTCCGCCCGCCGGGCCTGCTTGGGTCGCCTTCGTCGTCGCTTGGCGCGGGACTGGACGGCACAGCGAGCTCGGGCCATTTCTCGACATCGGAGAGGCCGGCGGCGTAGATGTAGGGGTTCGCATCGTATGAGGGATCGAGCGAGATGAGGCGGGGTCCGTATGGATCATCGACATTGCGCAGGTAGTTCAGGCGCAGGGAATGAATGAGATAGCTATGTGTTTGTTGGATGTGAGCATCCAGCCTCCCGAGGAGGAACAATGGGCTAACGTACTCTGGGTCACTGATTAGTGACATGGTCCTGCCGTCTGGTAGACCTAAGTCTGACGGCAGTATACCCTTTAGGCCAGTACAGCTCCTCAAGCGCGGAAGCCGAACACTCTGGTCAGCGAAGTCAGGAAAGCGTGTAACTTAGCACAGTGGTAAGTTATGTCGGGAGTGGTTGGTGGGCAGGGCTGAGATGAGCCACCGGCGCAGGAGCGGGCATTGTGTACATAGGCGCTCCGGTCCCGATCAGCTTCACCGCCAGATCAGATCGGTACCATCCCCTTTTAGGCAGTGGTAGTTGTTTGTTTATTTCCTTTATTGTCGCTAAGGGCGAAGCCCTATGTAGACATTACGTACACTACTCTCGTCGCGTCTCCTCTAGCCTGTTGTCGCATCGCATCGCAGTCCGCTGCAGTTTCAAGCAGGTATAGTAGGGTGTAAGGTAGTTAAGAGGATACTAATGTCACGGTGGTAGGGTCGAACTTGGGATGAAATGGAGTGTCATGTTCTGCTCCGTTCGCCGTTTGCTGCTCTCTCGTCAACCCGCCGCCCGGTTGCTCTTGCCCGCTGCCTTATCCCTCAACTTCAAGTCACCGTACGCGGCCGCGAAGCGGCCGGTGTCGTGGGTGTACCTGAACAGTGGTTTCAGGCCCGTTCTACTCGGTGATTTGAGGACATCCTTAATCGAGCGCACTGCTGGTCCTGCGTCGCGCGCGAGTCGGCGTCGCTGTTCATTGAAGGCGGAGCACTCCATGAGGTAGTGGTACACCTTACATACACCGTCTCGCGCGTCGTCCTGCACGACAGGCAAATGGGAGTGTCCTCCAAGTTCTGTCTTTTAAACAGGTATCGATGGCTTTGGGATTTTGGTACTTTCTACAATCAATGACATGACCTAATGCTGGTGCAAGCTATCTAAGTTACACGAATCCAAGAGACATTACAGTGTGCTGATCCATGTTCATTTGTACTTCTGAGTCCCTCTGAGCATAACCAGCATCAGCAGCTTTGGGCAGGGTGTTTAGGGTCTACCTGTATTGGTATGACTGTCCCGCCCGAGTCTCGAACGGTGTCCCTACCAGCCTTAGTTACCAGTATACATCCTCTCCTCTATGATTTGCGCAACTCTTTCGAAGTGTTCCGTAATATTCTCCACGTGTGCCTCGTCATTGCGGTCGGAAGCATTACCCGCTGGTACGTCCAGAGTGAACGACGGAGCATACAGCGGGAATGCGCCATGGTCTGGAACATCGGCGTCCCGCTGCAGAGGTCGCCCAAGCTGCCCAAACCAGAGGTCAATCCCGCACAGTTCGGACAAGATAATCAAGCCACGCACAGCGACTGAAGTCATGTATGCCCATGCCCGTGCAGCGTTGGGGTGGTTGTATCCGCCTGTTTCTGTGCTCAGAGAGCGGCACGTCATCGGCAACAAACGTCTGTGCTTACCGCCGCCGAGCATGAGTACCTTGCACCCCCATCGGTTGCAAACTCGATCTATGCACCACCCCATACTTCCCTCACCGTCATTTAGTGACCAATTCCAGATGCCATGCGGGTCGCCCGCAAGCCCGTCGACGCCACACTGTACGATGACGCACTCTGGCTGGAAAGCTTCCTTGACGCGTTCGACCGACGGCCATATCTGAGCAAATGTCGCGTCCGTGGCACCCCGCTCGAGCGGCATCGACAATGTAAAAGGGTCGAACCGATCCGCGGAAGGGTCTCGCAGCGTCGCAAGAGACGAAGAGGGAAAGAACCCCGGGGCACTGTGGTGTATAGACAGAGTCAAGATCTGTGGTCCCAGAGACGTCGCGGAAGAGTCCAGAAACGCCTCAGACACAGCGTCAGAGAAATGAAGGTCGAGATCGAGGTACATGACCCGAGGACGTCGCACAGAGGAGTCCGGCCCGCGGTGCATGCGTTTGAGGGTGAGCATAGCGAGAATGCAGTCAGCGACGTAGCAGAACCCTGATGCTTCTGATTTGCGCGCATGATGCCTGTTGTGTTGTATAGGAATGGCCCTGCTTGTATGCAGATTGAATGTAGATACCTGCCGCCATCCCAACATATTGCGATATCCGCACGATCCTCTCGGAGAGCACTGGCAGCTATCGAAGAAGGCAGATGAAGCACACATATGCGATAGCAGAGGAGACCAACCTGTTAAGGTACCTCCTGCAACGAGGCGAACGTATTGACTAAGCCCGGCAAACGGTGGACAGTCCTGTGGCAGAAGCGCTGTTCAAGTCACTTTAGGAATCACAAAGCATTGAATCATACTTCTTCGAGACCAAACTCCGCAACGTTTGGGTCATCAGGTGCACTTCCATTAGCAGGATTCAAGACAAACTGTAGATAATCCTGAGTGTGATATGCGCCAAGCTCTTTGTCGTCAGCAGGAACAGGTCTTAGAACTTGCAAACGAGTATCTTTCGGACACTTGGCCGGGTCAAGCAGTCCGTAGGCTTTAACAAGTGCATGGACCAGCAAAGAGCGATTGCTGTTTGACGGGAGTAAAGAGGATGCCTGCAACACGATGAGCTTGTGCCACACGCGTAAGTTAGCGTTCGACGCTGACCTTGACGAGCTCGTTGGATACGATATAGCATACTCGGCGTACGTGTTCAGACTCCTTGTCCATCGCGCAAGTAGACTGAGCAGGCGATGAACGCGTCCCGATTCAAGGGACGACGCGGGTGAGGGAAGGAATGACAGAAAGCAATCCGCTGCCGCGGCCGCACGCGTCGCGTCGCGTCACACATGTGGGCAAGCGCCGTCACGTATGCCGTCACACCTACTACACCACGCACGGGTCCTGGGCAGTGATCGCAGGAAGAGCTGAGGGCATGAGCAAACACTGTTGGAGGGAAGAAGCCACACTCAAACAGCCACTGTCTGCCCAATGCGTCGCATTATCCACAGGCGAGTCTAGAGTACAGGTATCATTTAAATCATGCTGTCACATATCGTACCAAGTCGTCCCCATCTAAACGTGACATCGCTTAACAGCTAAACATTTTTTACATACACCAGCAGGGTCAGCTCAGGTCGCCTTACACCGGTCCACAGAGAACACGCTCGGGTCGGGGTTACCCCACCACAAAGGGAAATCGACCGCGTTGCCGCTCGCGCCGAACACGGCAAAGGACTGCGTGAGACGGATGCGTGAGCGACTAGACACATGGAACAGAACCAAAAATAACGCACCAGAATGAAGATGATGACCTGGCTGCCGCCGTCGAGCGCGGCGGACAGGAGGTAGTTGTACTTCTTGAACCAGCCCGGGCGGTACTTGCGGAGCCACCACTGGCTCGCGAAGCCGATCACGAAGCACGACCACCACTGGCCGTTGACGGAGTACGGCAGGTAGCCGACGTAGAGCGAGATGATGGGCATGTTGATGTAGCTCGCGAACCGGTTGACGAGCGTGCCCGGCTTGGTGTAGCGGTGGAGGAGCCAGAACGGGACCGGGAGCAGCAGGCCGATGAAGATCGCGAACGCGAGCATGTCGTACCGCTTGTGGACCGAGTAGAGCTCGGTGCCGAGTGCGCCCAGGGCGACGGACGCCGAGTTGTATTGCTGGATGATCCAGCCCGACCACTAGGAGAGGGCACGGGTCAGTTAGGTATCAAGTGCACGTACAAGGTGTATGTGACTTACGACACGGGTACCCGTCGGGTCCTTGAGCACTTCACGGTTCGCGTCGACGATAGAGCGCATCACTGGGGAAGGCGTGAGCAGGTGGCTGATGGATCAAGCGAGTAGGCTTACTCGTGTAGTTGAAGATAGAACCAACAATTGAGCCCAACATCTGGGCAGCGAAGGTCGCACGGGGCGGCAGCTTCGTGTACTGACCTAGCTTGAGATCTGCAGCCCATGTCAGTCGCGCTCAGGGTCTTCCACGGAAGGACCAGATATGTACCCTGCAGCATGTATAATGTCTGGAAGGTGGTCGAGTTGCCGTACAGGTTGACGTACATGACCGCGATGGGCTGGCCTGGATGGATGAACGCTGCGAGGATCTGGATTGCATACTTGACCGAGATGTTGAAGCCCGTCGTCGCAGTGATGAAGCCAAGCGCGATGGCGAGGAAGAAGCTGATCACAGTGAAGAGGATGATACTCCACCAAGGGAGGAGTGCAGAGCCAGTCGTGTACTGCATTCAAAACACATACATCAGACCAGCAGGGAGGGAGAGAACAGAGCGGACGCACACTGCAGCCGATGCCGACGGCAAGGGAAATGACGAAGAGCAAGATGTACCACCAGGCGGGCACCTCCTTGTACTTCTGCATCTCGCGCCAATGCGGGTCGTCGATCTCGATCGGCTCCCGAATGCGCCTCAAGGTCAAAACGGCGTGCTTTGCGGCTGGACACACACGGCGACACAAGCACCCACATCTCGTGAGCACAGCCCGCAATCACGCCATAGCCCAGGCACGACTCACCCTTCTTGAGGTCCGACCAGTACCAGAGCAGGACGTGGACGATGCATGCGCCGAAGGAGAAGTTGTAGCACATTTGGCTGATCGCGTACGTTGTCGTGTAGTACGGTAGGCCGACCTCGGCAAGCGCCGTCCTATTGAGCGAGTTGTCCGGGTTCAAAATCAGTGTCTGGTCGTACGTTGTGCCGTTCTCGAAGAAGAGCGACGTCGACATCCACTCGAGCTCCCGCCCGCCGAAGACGTTTTTGTAGTAGCAGAGCGTCAGTACAAGGTAGCTGATCGCCATGCCCAGGTAGGAGTTGACCTCTGTCGGGGAAGAGGGTGCATTAGTGGCTGGGTGAACAGAGGACGGAAGGTGACGCACGAGTCTGGAGGGGCCAGACGAGAGGGAACCCCTGCGTGATAAGCGTCCAGCTCGTGCTGAAGCTGAACAACCCGATGCCTTCGTTGGAGGACCCCGCACCGAAGAGGTTGCGCACAAAGTCATGCCTCCCATTGTCGGCGAGGCAGATAATCGAGATGGCAGTGAGCAGCGGGAAGGGGTACTGCGGGATCCTGCGAGGAAGATGAGCACCGGGCGACCACCACCACGAAGAGCCCAGGAGACGCACCACTCCCAACAGAAGATGGCAATGAACACGATCCAGAAGAACTTGCGGCGCTTCTGGTTTAGCACGTTGCCGTAATGGAGGGACTGGAGCAGGTTGACCACCGAGATGTACGTCGGGTAGAACGCGTAGGTTGGGTACACCAGTAGCTCGCGGAGCACACCAGCGATACCGTACCCAATCATCTGGCTCGCGAAGATTTGGAAGATGGCGACGGCTGCATTCAGGCGGATGTCATAGAACAGGTCGAGCGCAGCGATGATCTCCATCGCCACGGCCACCGTGGACGCAGTCGAGGCCATGATCACGATCGCAGTATGTTCTGTGGGCGTGTTGAGATTAGCGTTGACATGAGCTGCGGTGAATGATGACAGAAGCTGATGACTTACCCTTAATGTTGAAGGGACCGGGGTTGAGGTAGCGCCAATAGCTGTGCGAGGGCATGATGACGTGCATGGCCGTACCGAGGACATAGGCGATAATGAGACAGAAAAGTTGTGAAACCGAGGCGTTCTGTAGCACACGGGGTGAGGGCCGAAGGGGACATGCAGATGACTAAGGTGCATACCTGAGGCTTGAACGTGTAGATAGTGGAGAGGACGGAACCGAAGGCACTCAGGCCGACGCCAAGGAAGAGGGTTCGGAACGTCCACGCAGGGAGTTCAGGATGATCCTCCGAGCTCAGAATCTACATGAGTGTAGGCGGTCGTGTGAATCGACATCAGGAATGCAAAAGACGTGCACGCACTTCGATTGCGACTTCCTCGGCCTTCTCGATGACCTTGACCTCGGTGTCGTCGTCATATGGGACCTCATTAACGTCGACCTTCTCGTGATCAAGATATGCATCGGAGTCCTTCTTGGAGGAAGATTCGGGGGTGCGTATCTTCTCGATGGAAGAGGTGGAGAGCTGGCGCTCCAGCTCGCCGGGGGCGTCGCTTGTCAGTGTCGGGAGCATGACGGGCAGACAGAGGCAGGCGCAGGGCCAGTAGAGTCGACTCGGAGGTCGGGGGAAACTCTGGGGAAGGTGGCTGGCGACATTGGGAGCATGTGGAATGATATTTATGTGATGGACTGGGAGTAGCGGCAGGGAGTAGAATATTTGCTATCTGGCCGGGTTCTATCTGCCAATGCTGGGTGCACCTGAGCGAGTTGTGTGACGCTGGGCGATCCCAGGCAGGAGAGATAAGGCTCCCCCCCCAGATTGCCGTCGTTCCTGGTCATCTGGCGGCCATGCTGTCCTCCTTAGCATTCCTCAGTGCCGTCGTCGACGCTTGCTGCCTCCGTGTGGTGGTCGAGGTCGTTCATGGGCGTGGTGGCGGTGCGCATCGTGTATACTCACGCCCGTTCTGCAGGCGGATCAATGCAGGTCTAAATCGGGCAAGTGAGTAGGAAAGAACACTCCGGCGTGATCGAGATCGGATGTGGCATATGTGCGGCCAGCCTCCGAGTGACTAGCGCTATAGCGGCATTCAACATTGTTCGCTACTACATTATCCGCGGCAAGGCACACGATAAAGTCCGGCAAGCATAGGCTTGGAAGTTCGTGGCCACCACTGCACAGCACAAGCAGGCCAGCCATACTGGGGGAGGCAGTCGGCGCCGGCCGCGCTCGCCTTCTCTAGCTATTGCGCGCTTCATACTTCCACAAGGCCTCCGCTAATCACGCTCAGACATCCACCGTCTACGGCTCAGACCTGCGGGCATGTAACACATTGATCATGGTGAGTGAGCGTGCATGCTGGCTCAACGGCAATGCTAATCAGTGTACAGGAAACGACGATGGTGTTCTCTACCTTGAGCCTCACGGGCGAGAACATACCGGAGGCCATCACCCTATCCAGACCAGACGACTTCCCATGTCGTCAATTCGACTTTCACCGCAGTGCATACCGACCAGACTGGAAGCAATCGACACGTTCACAGGACGGCCGTTTATCTCTGATAATAGAGCGTATAGCCTGCGGTCGATCTGCTGTAGTCTACTCCGCTGAGATCGTGACCACGTCAGAGAAGGGCAATATTCCCTCAAGTCCACATCCGCACGAGCAGCAGCTCTGCGTAAAGATCGCGCGACCCAATCGCTGTCGCACACTCGCGCGGGAAGCGTGGATATATGACCAGTTGACCCTCGGCCAGTTGCAAGGCGTCATCGCGCCGATGGAAGCCAGACCCAGAAGCGCCACTACACTTACACTGGAGATGACGATCAGGATGAGGTTACACAGTGAGTCGAGGTTCATGTGCGCCTAGTATTGGCCCTTAAATCTTCGGCTTACACAGAGAGGACTGGCATCCGTGCGATGCTGGACGACCTGTCGGACATGTACCTCAAGCATTGCGACCTACGTCCGAATAATCTCGTGCGTGCACCCACTGGCACGAAGCCATATCTCATCGACTTCGCCCATTTCCGACGACAGCAATGGGGACGAGGACGCGAAGCTGCGTCTCATACGCAAGTCGCAGCGCGAATGCTATCGAGGCGTGTATTTCTGGTATGGTTGTTGCCCTTGAGCTATTATCCAAATTGGTGCGATCGATCAGTCAACATCGCTCGGCCCATATTCGCGCTCCTGCTCATGTGCCTGGGCGTCCTCCAACCTTGGCGAAGATAAACACACCCTCCCGCCTTGGCAGACTGCGGGGCACTCAACCCCTCGTACCTGCTCGTGTGCGCACCATAATTCAAATACACGATCGCGAACGATATCTGGGCTACCGGCGGCGAGTCAACGGACCAATGGAGAGCAAGGCGTTTACGAAGACCTCGGGTTGATGCTTCAGATTCTGCTTTGAATGAGATGTCAAAGTTTGGGCTACCAACGAAACATCCCTCAGCACTGATGGTGAACCCACCCCACCTTCAGCGGCCAGCATGTCCAGTACAGCTTGACGAGCATACCCAATCGACAAGGTGAGCAAACCAAGAAACCTTCGATTCATGTCAGATCGTCACACAAATATCAACCTCATAGATCGCACGGCTCCGCGCCAGCCCCGCTCACCCAACCCAGACACGGACTACGCCTCCGACTCCCGCCCCTCCCCACACTTCTGATCCGCGTCCAGGCGCGCGCGCACTTTCTCCACCTCGCGTGCCCAGTCTGTGCGCATGCACAGCCAGACGCCGATGGTGCCGCAGTAGAAAAGCGACACCGTCAGTCCGATCCAGAGCCCATGCAGATGCATGTCCTGCCAGAACGTGAGCCAGAGGCCGAATGGGATGCCTACACTCGCAACAAGTCAGTGAATTGGAGGAGACGGGTGATGAAAGAGAAGGAAGGGGGTGTACCGATTACGTAGTATGCGCTGGTGGGGGGATTAGTAGCTGTGAGAAACATCTACAGAGATGCGTACCTCAAATTCAGGAGTGCCCCGGTAAACTGCAGGTATCCGTGTTAGCTGGGACACGATGGCGTCGAGGACACGGCCATCTCACCTGCTTGCCGACCGCGCGGAGGATACCCCCCGTCACGCCGCCCAGACCGTCGAACACCTGGAAAAGCGCGACGATGGGCAGGATCGAGGCGACCAAGGAGACGACCTCTGTGTACGGCAAGTGTCAGTTATGAGCATTTGCTCCGGGGTACCGGGGATATGGGAGGAACACACCTGGATCGTCGTTGAAGAGGTGCGCCCACGACTTTCGGAAGATCATGAACATCGCACTGAACCGAACACCATGAGCACACTCCGACTCTTTGCCCATCTCGACCAAGCAGGCCGCGGAACTCACCTCCAGACCAAGCTAATGGCCAGAGACATCAGGATAGCCGCGTTAGCCGCGACGCCAGCGCGCTTCGCCTTCTCTTCTCCCAGCAGATTGCCAACCCTGTAGCGAGGCGCAAGGTGATCAAGTCAGGAGAAGTAAGTCGGCGGCAGGAGGGAAGGGAAAAACATACCGCACGGAAGTCGCGACGCTCAGCGCGAACGGTGCCTGGTATGTCGTCGAGCCTGATACGAGGAGCACCGACTGAGTAGCGAGCGCGATCGGGCCCAACCTGTCCCCCAAAGCGCATGCACATCAGCATAAACGGCTCTTCGAGGGGTTATGGACGGTCCGGTACGCACATACTAGCCGCGACTGCCCAGGTAGGCAAGTTCGTCAGTCTCGGGAACGTGACAAGGTAGTAGGAACCCACTCACGTCCGACGAGCTCCCAGGACCACCATTCTGACGCGGTTTGGCCTGTGCATCACGCTCGGTCAGCAACTCCATTATTTACTAGACCAAGCCCTGACGAACTGACGCACCGACGCCTGCGAGACCGAGGTGGACGAGTACACCGAGGCTCGTGAAGCACCGCCGGCTCAGCGGGTGCCATGCCGTGCGGGGGACGAAGAAGATGCCGTACGCGATCGACGCGAGCGAGATCAGGTTGAACGACACCGCCGTCGCGATCGGCGCACCGATGAACCCCAGCCGTACTGACTCTGGGCCCCACACTGCCGTCCGTGTCAGTCGCTGCGAGAGGACTCAAGGAAGGTAGAGAGGTGCGCACCTAGAACGTAGTTGAGCGCGGCGTTGATGGGCGCGATGACCATGATAATCCGCGTGGGCACCGCGAAGAGGCCTGCACCGAGGATACGTCAGTAGGAGGAAAGGGCGTGCCTTGGACTTCTCCGCAGTCGTGGTGCACACACCTTGGGACTGGAAGTACCGCCTGAAGATAACGTGGGTATCAGCGACAGCGGACCGGCATGAGCGCGGGGCGCAACGTACCTAGAGATACCATTGAAGGCATACGCGGGCAGTCCGATGACGGACCACTTGAGGTACGTTGCGGCGAGGTGCGCGACCTCGGGCTCTTGCTTGAGGAAGAGCAGGATGCTCTCGGAGCTGAACCATATCAGGATGATGGGCTATCGGATCAAAAGTAAGGTTAGAGTTAACGTCCATTAGAGATTAGACGAATCATGAGTTCATGATAGACGCACCACTAATACAGCGGTCATGACGACAGCTGGGGGCTGGGGTTAGACAAGGCATTACCAAGAAGGACATGATGTACGGTGCGCATCACCGCAACTCAGATACAGTGAGCGTGTAACGTTGGGTCCGCTACACACGATCAGGCCCAGCGGCGAGCATAGGTGTGCCTCCTTCAGCGCTCGACGGAACAATTGCTGAGGGCGCTGGTCCCTGTATGTACCCACGGCGAACACAGCGACGAGACGCTCCTGTTATCGCGAAGGCCCACGGACCAGAGTCCAGTGGGGCTCTGGTGTAAAGTGTGACGCGGGCCTGCAATATCCAGGCTGTGGTGATGCATACAGTAGAATGACGGGCACGCACCCATGCGTTGAGCCCATAGCCCAACGAGCTGTGGTTGTGACGAGGTCCATGCGCCCGGAAGCATCGTGTCCAGGGTGCTGGTGAAGCCCTGGATGATGCTGAAGCCTGTTACGCTCGCGGTCATGGATCCGAGGGTGGACGCCGCAAGCGCAGTGGTGGACAAGTGCCCTATGGACACGACGGACGCAATGACGAGCGAGTACTCCAGTACGTGCGTCCTGCAGGAATGCGTCAGCGCCTGACCGGCTCCGTGAGGCTGCCTACCGCTGCTCACCCAAAGACAGGCAAGGTGTACTTTGCCAATATTTTCGTTTCTTCCTTCAGCATGCTCGAGTAGCTCTCCGCGTCCGCGGTGTCGACCTCTTCCTCAATACGAGGAACGAGAAGTGGTGTGTTTTCCGAAGCATCACCAGGGTTAGCTGGGCCAGACCGGTAGCCCGACTTGTCGGGCAGCGGGCCCACGGTGGGCTTGAAGGAGGAGATATAGGAGGTCGGGAAGCTCTTCCGCCTGCCAACCTGTTTCGTGGGTATCGCAAGGCCAGTGCTATGTCGTTCAGGCGAGGCGTCGCTCTCTGAGATGGCGCCGTCGTCTTCTGCGGGGTCCTCGTCATGTGCGTGGGGTCCATTGGCGGGGTGCATGTCGTTGGCGGCAGCGTAGCGGGAGAGGAGGGCGTAGTCGGAGGGGAGCGAGGAGGGCGTGGAATAGTGGGCGTAGGTCTGCGACATGGTGCGCGGCTCGTACGCGAGTAATGGCGGTCGCGCCGAATGGAAGAGGTCGTCTGAGTCGCCGCCAGAGTCTCGGACACGCTGTGGCGATCCTTCATATGCCCGGGGAAGCGCCCGCAAACGCCATCAGACACCAGTCAGACACGGTCCGACGTCCGTCCGCTTCGGAGAACACAGACGCCCGCCGCAGACGCTGCCAGCAACGCGCTCTCACCCGCTCCGTCCATCTTCTCATGGCGGCCGCGGACAGCCACCTCGACGCGCCGCCCCTCAGGCCGCCCCTCGCCAACACATCAGCCCCGCGCGACAGGGAGCCTCCACACGCCGACCTCGACAAGCTGCGCAGATGGCAGGAGGAGAGAATCGCGCGCAGGCTCCGCGGCGAGTACGAGTCCGCGGTCCTGCACCTCGCGGAGGTGGTACGTCCCGTGTCTCATTCCATCCATGCAGCTGCTTGATCCAGCAGCGCAGGTCAATGACAACATGAGCACGCCTCTCCGCCTCGCCTCCATCCGCGTCGAGGGTGCCGCCAGGACCAGGCAGTCCTTCCTTTCCGCTCTTGTGACGCCGTTCCTGCCGCCCCCTGCAACGCCTTCCTTCTCCGCCTCTTCTGACCACTCGAGCTCCCTTGGCGATGTCCTGCACAAGGCGCGACACATCGGCTCCCTCCTGCAAGAGACCGATATCTTCCAGAGCGTCGAGGCGCGACTCGAAGGCAGCCGGGACTTCCTCGCGCGCCCGGGCGATGTCGACCTTGTCTTGCGCACGCGGGAGCGGGGCAGGTTTTATCTGAACACAAGCACGCAGGTCGGGAACAATGAGGGCGGTGCGGTGCGTAACGATGCGTGTTTCTCTTTGACAAGATGGCTAACACCACACGTAGAGCGCGACATGTCGCGTGCGTAACGCGTTCGGCGGCGCGGAGCTCTTGCAGGCGAACCTCGCGTTCGCGACGACCACCCGTGTCGCTTTCTCTGCGTCGCTTTCCGCGCCGCTCCTCCCTTACCTGCCCTACGCGCCGTCTGCTTCGCCAAATCCCAACCTCAACACGCGCGGAGAGATCTCGATATTTGGCCACGAACGGGACAACACAACGTTCGCGAGCTCGTTCGAGGGTGTCCGGGGCCTGCGGGCTGCTGTCAGGGTGAGCTAGGTTAGCTTGTTCTGCTGCACATTCGAGCGGGCTTTCTCACAAGGTTCGATCTCGTCACGCTTCCAGACAGGAACACTGCGAAACGGCACGCACGAATTTGCATACGAGGGTGTGCTCCGGCATATAGGTAATTTGGCACCGACAGCGTCGATCAGGTACGTCCCGACTTCGCTTTGTCTTTCTGGTGCTGGGGTGCTCAGAAACGGTGTATAGCATACGCGAGGCGGCGGGACCCTCCATCAAGTCCGCCCTGTCGCACACCTACATGCGCGATACCCGGGACGACGCGCTGCTCGGCACGCAGGGATCCTACGTCAAACTCTCGCACGAGCTGGCGGGTCTGGGCGGAGACACGAGTTTTTTCAAAACGGAGGGCGCCACGCAGCTCGCGCGGAGGCTCTTGCCTGGTGTGGTGAGCTTCATGTTATTGTTCACTCGGAT